CCCCACCAGTTTCTTCAACCGTTCCTTCAATACTTTCTATAGCAACAGTTGTAAAACTTGTATGTGTATGAGTCTTATTTGCTTTCTTCTCTAACTCATCGTTAACATAAGTTTTATCTGCTTTAAGGTCTAAACATCCTGAAACCCATCCTGTATCGGCTTTAACTTTAAAAGTCTTCGATGTCCATTCATGGTACCAGTCAACCCTTTCTTTCATTTCGTTATCTTTTTCATCCACATATTCCTTATCCGCTTTCTTCTCTAACTTACTAGCCACATATTCCTTATCTGCTTTCTTTTCAAGGCTAACGTTTAAGTCTGTTATTTCAGATATAGAATGTGTATGAGTCTTTTTAGAATATTCGTTTTCAGCTCTTGTCACTTCACTTGACATTTTATTGTCAACATATGTTTTGTCTGCTAGTTCAGGATGAGTATGTTCTTTTGTTGCATAAGCATTGTTAGCTCTTTCTTCTTCTTTTGCTATTGCATCGTCTACATATTCTTTGTCAGCTTTGTTGTCAACATCTGCTTTCAAAAGAAGTTCTTTTATAGGTTTCTCGTTTAAAGTTCCTTTTGTTGGATTTATACAGACAGTATGGTTCTTATTGTCTTGAAACAGAAACTCATCTGTCATTGGGTTTAATGTCAGTTTTAAGTTTCCTTCTTTCAATGACTCAGATATCTTAGAATAGTTTGAAAAGTTTGTTGTGTTCTTATTTAGAGCTTGCACAATGAGTTGTCGGTTGTGTTGTATTTCTCTCATAGACGCTGTTTCTTTCGACATTTTTATTCTAGATAAAATATGCTTTCAATAGAAAAAGAAAATTCAAGAGTTGCTACAACTAAACCATTAGATGAACTTTTTACTAATGTCGGTCAAAAGTTTGAGACAGAGACCGTAAAGCATGAAGGCTATCGTTTTGACTACCCATTAAGATGGTTAAGAGACCCATCTGTCACAAAAGCTATTGGCTTTCGTAGAATGAAGTTTGTGTCTGTAGAAGATAAAAGTTTTCCATTTATTGTAAGGTTTCATATAGATTATATATCTGAAGGGAAACGAAAAATGTGGGAAGAAATTGAGCTAATACAAGTTGACCTTTCATCTTCTCTCCAGACTGCGTTAAAAAATATAGAAGATAAAATAAATTCATGTTATGCAAAATATGCTGATGAATATGCAAATACCGAGAGCACACTTTATGTGAGAATTGTATATGACAAACAAAATTCACAAGTGTCATTTCAAATCTACGAAGACAATCCAAAGAAAGAGAACAACAAATATATACAGAATTCACTGCAATGTCATGGTATTATTTGCAAAGAATGTTAAATCAGAAAGTCGAACTTCCTTTAGCAAATATTTACAGTCGATATGCAAGAGATGAACCATATTTATTTAAAGATGTTTTCGACCCAGCTGCTATTATTGTTCATGCTTCATTTTCTGGCGCCCAAAACTCTTTCTTATGCTTGGCAAATGACTTTTACGAAAAACCTACAAAGTTATACGAACCACCAAGTGGAAGTATTTCAGACTTTCAAGTATGGTTTACTACAGATGGAAGAAAAAGAATAATTCCATTATACCATGCGTTTTACTTAGAACTTAGTTTCATATACAACTACTATCGAACGGTAAAAATATAATTTTTTAATACGGTTGAGGTGTTGGATTTGGTTGCCAACTTGACTGTGGTGCAGGTTCAGGCTGTTGTATAACAGGAGCTTGTTCTTCTGGTTCAGGGTCTTTAGGTATAATACCAACGAACTGACCTACCCTTTTACCAATATTTTTGACACCGTTCCAAATTCCTCTTCCTACGGTTTTTATTCCATTCCATATACCTCTTCAACATTTCGAAAGAAGTTTCCAATACTACTGAAGAAACCCATTTACTATATGTAAAAATCTAATGTCCGCCTAGTCTCTTACGTTTCCTGTTGAGTTCCATAGCATTCTTTAACTGGAGCTCATACATTCTGTTTCTCCTCTGGTAGAAAACATATTCTGGGTCAACTCCTGTGTTTGCGTCATCTGCATAAAGTTGTTTATATCCCACTTCAGGGTTTGTATAAAACTCTTTCCATCTCATATTTGCATACCATGGTGGCAAACCTAACGCAGCGTCATTTGACATGGCAGTTTGCATTTGTACATCTGTTGGCACTTGACCATAGTTTGCCATTGCAGTTTGTATTCTAACTTCATTTGGAATATTCTCTGGGTTTGGTTGTCCAGGTTGCTGTGCATTCGCTAAGTTCTGTGCGTCCATTTAATATTAGATAAAAATATCTCTTACGAGTACATATGCTGAACATTTGCAGGCATTGGTTCATCTTCATATTCTCTATATCTTTCTGCCACGTCAAATAAATAAATGACACAATGGAAAAAACCTAAAACAAGTAGTCCTATTTCAAACCACATTTACTTACTAATAAAATTTCTTTATTGTGACACTTTCTCCAGTTTATAGGACCTCTCTCATATTCTATCTTGTCATATATAAACTCATAGTCATGTATGTCCTCTAACCATCTCATAACGGTTTCCAAACCACTTTTATCGGATGTAAAGTAAAAGCATGGACAGTTATGTAAAACGTCTAAAGTTTCTAAAGAGTCTCTCAAAGTCCAGTCTACTTGGTATTGAAAATCCCATTTGTTATAGAACGGCGGGTCCACTATAAAGAAAACATTTTCCTTGTCTTTATATTTTTCATACAAATCTGTCCAATGACATCTCACAAACTCTATACCCTCAATATATTTATCTATGTCCTCTTTGAAAACATTTGTATAGTTAAGATATAAAACTTTTGACATAAGTGTTTCAATGTCATGAACTCTTATAGCACCACTATATAATAGTCTAGCAGATATACTATCCCAGTCTATATATTCTGCTTTTTTCAAAACCTCTCTCACAATATTTTTGTTATCTAATGGTATACGTTCCATCTTACCTATAGGTATCTTTTCTTTTAACTCTTTCAATATTTTGTTTGTGTCTGGTATATGTTTGAGACGGTCCATATAGTTGTCGAAGTCATTGCATATAATCTTTGAGTCTGGGAATATTGTATGGCACAAATGGGATATATAGAAACTTCCACCGAACAAATCTACAAATGTTAGACCATTCGGTAGTTTCTTAAGTTCTCTCAATAGAATATCTTTACATTTACTCTTATTTCCAAAGAACGGTAACGGTGGTTTTGTAAAATTCATTTTATATACAATAAAAATGTTTTTTCCTGAAAAGTGACAGAAAAGTGACAAAACATGTACGAAGAAGTCTTGAAAATTCAAGAGGGTAGAAAAGAGGTTAGAAAAGAGGTTATATCTAACCTTCTACCCTAAACATTATTTTTGTCTGATTTTACGAAGAAGTCTTGACAAAACATGAAAACATATATAATTTGTGAAAAGCTCCTGGAAGACCCGTATATAAGAACTTCATTTATACTAAACATCTTCAGGGCTAGAAGGCACGAAGTGCCTGGAAGCCCCACTCCCTTTTTTTTTTTTTTTTTATTCATATGCATCGTATAAGACAATTCTATGATCCAGCCTATTATCCTCACTAAACTTTCTTAAATATAATATTTGAATTTTGTCTTAAATTCTTTAACAAAAATATATCTTTTTACCTAAAACATCCACAAAATGTTATCCATCATAAACAATTCGACGATCGAAATACGTCCTAAGTAATTTTAAGAAAATTTAATTTCAAATTTCGGATTTCTGTAGAAAATAACGTCAGATTCAGTTCTACATCGATTGTATCAGCGATTCATTACATTCAGTTTCAAAATGCATATATTTATTTAATCATCTTCGTGATAATGAGAAAATCAGTACACTTGTGCACATTAAAAATATCTAGTCAGAAAGTCTATTTGCTGTCTCAATACCATCAAATAGAATATATCGTTCATATTAAACGATTTTATTATGTTTTTATGACTGTGAGAATAATACAGATGTTGGAAAAATCGTTCATATTCAACGATTTTATTATGTTTTTACTCTCGGTACAAATTTTTTCCAAAACCCAAAAAAATTCGGCAAACCCAAATTTTAGCTAAAAGTGACAGGGGAAAAAACGTTTAGTATTAAAAAAAAAGACCGATGAGAGCTTCGTTCGAAATATAGAGGGAACTGAGAATGCGCAACCATTCTCAGGGAATATTGGATGCTATTCCCGTTCCCTCTGTATGGAAAATTGAGGTTTTCAAAGGGAGTTAAAATAATATCAAATTTATACTAATTTACTTCAAAATACAAAAGTATTTGACAGCTAAAATTAGTTACTTTAGCAAGCCTATCAATACCCTTTTACGATTATTGTTACTTTTTCGAAATAAAAGTAAAAACAAATTTATACTAATTTACTTCAAAATACAAAAGTATTTGACAGCTAAAATTAGTTACTTTAGCAAGCCTATCAATACCCTTTTACGATTATTGTTACTTTTTCGAAATAAAAGTAAAAACAAATTTATACTAATTTACTTCAAAATACAAAAGTATTTGACAGCTAAAATTAGTTACTTTAGCAAGCCTATCAATACCCTTTTACGATTATTGTTACTTTTTCGAAATAAAATAAATTTATTATCAAAAACCTTTTTTTTCTTAGTAAAAATAAACAAAATTTTTTACCTTATGAACTTTTGATGGAAATATGCAAATTTAAAATAATAAAGAAAGCCGCGAGCGAAGCGATCGGCTTAGTTCGAAGATTTTGATTCAAATCTTTGCTGATCTGTAATTCGCGGAAGCCGCGAGCGAATCGAGCGGCTTAGGTCTAAGATTTTGATTCAAATCTTTGCTTATATTCCTTAAATTCAATTGATTATGGTTATATCTTCCATCTCAGATTTCTTGTTCATCATCCTAAATTTGATTACCCTCATATTGATAAAAACATCATATCTAGAATCAAAGATTATTACAAAGACATTTATAATGAAATTCAAAACATGATTAACACGGTTAACTCTCCAGAGAAAGCTTATCATAATTTCATTAACGGACTCCCAGTAAATGATGAAATTATCTTTGATGTCATGAAGTACTGCATTAAGGTTAATGATTTAACAACTTTTATGGATTTTTCTGCCAAATACGGATATGTAGACTTGCAGATCGATCAACTAATTGAGTTACTTCAGCTGTCATCATTAACATGGCCATTTGCTGCAGCAAAAATTGTTGAGAAAGAGCCAGATGGATCTGTTTGTATTCCATTAACAAGATATTTTTCTATTTCTCAATATAATGGATCAATTCCGGCACAAGTTGCAGATATTATTATGAAAGATCCTGATTTACAATCAAAACTCAATGCTTTTGACTGTATCAACTTGCTGTCAATGGTTAAACCAATGATCACAGATATTTCTCCATTAAAATCTCTTCTCGCAAAATTTGGATTGATTGATGAAGATAAAATCACTCGAAACCTTTTTGATATCAAAAAATTGGTTTTCAACTCTCCTAAAATCAATCAACTTGCGAAAGAGGATATCAACGGATTCGTAAATATCATTCCTCCATATTTTGATTTCATCAAATATGCCATTGGAGTTGAAGTTTCAAAAGAATTCTTTGATAAAATTGTTAATTTTGTCATCTCATTAATTCCTCAGAAAGAACAAAAAAACATTTTAAGAGCACCACAAGAAGACTTACCGACTGATTTTGTTAAATTTGTCACACATCCTATAAACAGGAAGTATGTTGATATCAAAGAACTCTGCAAATCAAGTAAGAATATGCCTCTTATCAAAGAATTCGAATTTACAAATGAAGAATTTGAACTTCTCAAAAATGTTAATTTCATGAAAGATTATTTCTTATTCAATAAATACAATGAAAAATTCTTCACTCTTGATGAAGTTCTCCAATGTGTGTATCCAGAGACAATTGTCCATTCAATATTGACAAAACCTTTGATTGATGGAGATATCGCAAAAATACAAAAATTCATCTATAATGAGAATGCGCGCTCAATATTCGGATTACCTCGTCGTAGGATTGAATACAGGCCTATTTTCGAGCGAGATGAGATTTGTAACGGTGTTAACACCAACACATTGTTAAAATTCCTTTCGCCGCAACAAGAATTTGATAAAATTTTCATTAAGATTTTTGATCTCTTGCTTTCAAAGAAATTGGATGATGAACAAAAAGCAGAAATGTTCCTAAAAATCCCAACTAATGATGAAGCACTTGAATTCATTCTTTCTAGAAGAGAAAAAATCAATGATTCATGTTTGATACTTTATTCATCTAGAGTTCGAGCAAACAAAATTTTGCTCGATGATCCTGGTTTATACATTGTCGAAAAAGGAACTCCAATAGGCGATGTTTACGTGGAAAAGTTATTCCGATTAAAGAAAGATGTTAATTATAAGTTTTTGTTCAAGTACAATGTTTCCAAGCAAGCAATGGCCAGAGCACTTATTTCTTCAGCTGAAGCTTCTAATATTGGAGGCTTGAGTTTCTTGATTTCTAAAGGAGTACCTGTCAATATAATTCTTAATTCAAAAACACCACTCCAAGCTGCAATTAGCTCAAGATTTGTTGAAGGTGTACAAATATTACTTAACCAAGGAGCATCACTCGGATTCAAGGGAATACAAACAGCTGCAATTTGTGCTGAAAATTCTGATGATATGACATATATGCGACAATATCAACATTGAATATGAAGCTCGTTTAGATGACATCAGAAGGATTCATATCAAAACATATCAAAAATCATTTTGTCCACATATAAATGATGATCTCATACAAAGCATCAATAAATTTGCTAAAGATGCTCCTAGGATTGGTACCATCGCTGATCTTGAATATAAAGGGGAAAGGTATCCTGATCAAACTATTGCTGAATATATCGGAATTGTATTTCAAGACAAATCTAAAATCATCCAAATTGTAAGGGCTGAAATGGTAACTTTTAAGTCATTCAGTAACCCATTAAGGATAATTCTTTTGTTCACTCCTGTTGATTTAACAGGATTAAGTCCTCTCATTCCATTGCAAATGGAAAGAAGAAATGCTATTCCAGACGAAACAAAAGAAGAAATTTGGAAATTCATTGAAAAGAACATTTATGAAAGTTCGGAATGGTTCAAAGCTGTCTACTCCGTCATAATGAACATTAAACCAATTAATAAGATGGAAAATTTATCAGATTTATTGTTCATTGCAGTAAGACTTGGTAATTTTGATATTATCCAAGAACTAATCATTAAAGGTGCGAAAATTAATTCAGTCGAAGGTATTTACAATCGTCTGTCACCATCATTGGAAGCAATTAGCAAGGATAGATCAGATATTTTGCAGCTCTTCATTAATAATGGATTAGATGTTAATAGCATTTACTCAAGAGATAACTTCACATTAATCAATGCTTCTATTGAGTATAATTCAATGAAATGTTTCGATATTTTAATTGAAAAGGCATCACTTAATCATATTGTTGTTCAAACACCAATGATGGTTGCCCTTCAAACATTCGAGCGAACAGGTAATGACTATTTCATCAATAAACTTCTTGATAAGATCGACATCGAATATGAAACCATTGTTGATAGTTCGTTTGTCAATTACACTTTATTCAAAGAAGGAAAAATCCCAGAATTCCATTATACTTCAGACCACAGATTTATCTCACCGGTTGTTGGACTGAATTACCAACCTATTAGACATAATTTGGATAACACAGATGTTGTTCAGAAATCATTGGCAACTGGATTCATCAATAGACTAGAAAGAGCCGACATCAAACAGAACTTTTTTGAAAATCTCAAAGATCGTAATGCTCATTTCCCGTGATTTATGATTTTTTTTTAATAAAAATAGTATTCACTAATCAATGCAAATCTTTTATAAAATTAATTAAACTTTGCTTAATATATATAATGCTTTTTTATTAAATAATTCATAGATGCATTCCAAATACCATATAAAAGCAATATGGACATGTTTTAAAACGAATTATCTGCAAATTTGATTCACAAAAGAAAATGCGAAGCACATTAATTTCATTTTCATAATTCTACTTGAGTTGAATAAACAAAACTGGATAATCTGTAAACAGTGCATGAATTAGATGTTAATTACATCTAATCAAATAAATGATAATATTCAAGAAATAACATTACATTAATCAATGGATCCATTAGACATTATTAATGAAATGTTTTTAGATATATAATCACCAAACAATACCTGATACGAAGAAAAATAATGATAATATGGCAAATTGACTGAGTTTTGATGGATAACATATATATTCTCACTAAAATTTTGCGATTAAGTATTTCTCAACCATTTCATGGTCTCACTAAAATCTCAAATAATTTTATGTTATGGTGAAAATTATGAGTATATTCTCTTTACTTACTATAATTCATTATGGAATTCTCGCTCTTAATTAGTAATGTTATCTCTTTCAAGATAATATTATTTTCTAAACTGCTGAAAACATATTCAGGAGTATTTGAGTATATCATTAGATAATATGCTATATTTCCCTGCTCCACCTTGGCAAATTATACGAAAATCATAGAATTGTAATTTCATTGTTTCTAATTGAAGTATAGATTTTGAAAAGAAACTATGATTTAGATGTCATAACATATTTACTATTCAAATTTTATGAATCTATATATATATACAATAAATTTTCAAAAATCGGAAATTGTGTTCGTTACATTGAACATATAAACATCATATATATAATTAAGAAAGAGAATTTAAGAATATAAATGGTTAAAAATAGAGATATACAACATTTGATAATTCGATTATTTTATTCGCATATTCGTTATATATACCAAAGCAAATTATAGCATTAGCAAATGACTATTATTCTAATCAGACCACTTCTCCTCCATCAAAATGAGCATTCAAAACAAATTTTACAATTTGACATAAAAAAAGCAAACTTTCAAGAAGAAGAAGCCAAAATATATCAGATCTTTTATAGTATATCACATATATGCCTCAAATGTTTCCAGCTTTGGTCAAGAAATCCTTGGGAAGGTCAAAAAAGACGAATAAATTTATCTCAATTTGGACTTTACATTGTCACTTTTCACAGCGATATAAAAATTTATGTTATATGACCAATTAATTATTCAATTTTTGATAACGATCGTCACTTCTATCAATCAACGATAAATCATAATGAAGAGGATTGCAGTTCTCTCTAGTGGCCGTGATGTTAGCGGAGCCAATGCAGCTATCAGATCCATCGTCCGTATGGGTGGAAAGTATGGCATGCATGTTTTCGGCATTACTGGTGGCTTCCGTGGCTTATACGAAGATTATATTGCAGCACTTACAAGCAGAGATGTTTCAGGCAAAATCGGTAAGGCTTCATCATTTATCGGAACCTCCCACGCCTTCGAATATCTCGAAGACAGCAAGATTCAAAGATGCCTCGCAAATCTTAACAAGAGAAGTATCGAAGGTTTAATTGTCGTCGGTGGTGGCGGCTCCTTCGCTCACTCTCGCGTACTCGCTGATAAGGGTGTTCCAATCATTGGCATTCCAGCATCAATCCAAGATGATGTCGTTGGCACAGATATCTGCCTCGGTGTTGATACAGCAGTTAACAACATCATGGATTGCATCGATCATATTCGCAGCTGCGACTCATCAAGAAATCGTTCATTCCTTGTTCAAGTTGAGGGCCGTCACTCCGGCAACCTCGCTGCCAGATCAGCTCTTGTCACAGGTGCTGAAATCTGCCTTATCCCAGAACACAACGGACGCCCACTCGAGGAAATTTATCAGAAGGTTCAAAAGTCTCTCGATACAGGCAAGACACAATGCATTACAATCGTTTCATCAGGCTGGAAGCCAGGCATGAAGGCCCTTGCTAACTACATCGAAGATAAGGATAAGGAGAACGATCTTATCATCCGTCAGACAATTCTTGGTTACATCCAGCGTGGTGGCTCTCCAAGTGGCTTCGATCGCCTTCTCGGTACTCGTATGGGTGCTGCAGCTGTTGAAGCTCTTAATGCTGGAAACAAGAACCACTTCATCAGTCTTCAGAACTCCAAGCTTGAAGTCATCCCAATCGAGGACACAGTTGGCAAATACCGCCCAGTTGACCCAGCTTTGTTCGAGATGATCAAGTCTACATTCTAAATTCTTTTTTACTTTCCCTCCTTTTTTGATTAAACAATCGTAATTGAACTCTATTGATAAATTCCTAATTTTTTTTCTTACTAAAACAATGCTTTTTTTCTCAAAAATGAAAATTTTTCCATCAAAAAAACCTTTCTGATCAAGAATCGAATCAATTATTGACCAAACATTTGCCTCTTGATTTTCCAACTCAACCTTCATCGTTTAGGTCAGATCATTTTCAATTCAATTTCATGATTTCAAGTTTAATTAGCCCTGAAAAATTTGAATAAAAAATAACGATATGTAAAATTTGTAATGTCATCCATTTACGATTACGCCACCCTTGTTGGATTTGATTATGCCAATGTTCCTGGCGTCATGAAGATATTCCCCGAAAATACCAATATGGGTGTTGAGGCTTTATACTTTGCTACATCTTGCTGGCCTTTCGAAGAGCGTTCATTCTCAAAAGAAAAGCTTCCAATGATATACTCTTTTAATGGAAAAACAACATACTTTCATTCTTTGATATTTTTATATAATCATCAAGTTTATGCGATAATTATGGCCACTCGCCGGCCATTCGCTTCATTATTAACAACGTTCTTGAAGCAAATCAAAGAACAATTTATGCTATCATCGATTCCAGAACCAAATAATGCTTTTACATACGTTACTTCGATTATTTCTAGCTGGCCAAGAGGAGCAGTTGAATCAGCTGTACTTACGTTCCCAACAAGCTCTTTGGCAATTAATTTCGACTATTCGCAGTTTTCTTATACACAATATAATCCAAAACGATATTTCTTAGTCGAAGAAGCCATGCGCATGTGGAAAGCATTGATTATCGGAGACCCCATCCTAATTATATGCCCTACTGCTGATATAGCATCCAAAGCTTGCTTTGCTGCTTTTTCATTAATATCTCCTCTTTTATTTGACGATGCATCCATTCTTTGGCTTCATGAAAGTGATTCCCGATACAATGAGATCCTATCAGGGACAACCCAATATAAAGTTGTCGCTTCTCCATCAGAAAAACTTGCAAAATACTGTCATCAATTCAAAGTTGTCGTTCATGTTCCAGAAATTAAGAAACAAAGTACAGACATTAATATACATGAAAAAACAAACAAGATTACTACAAAAGTTCTCAAAATGATTCTAGGAGAACTAGAAATGCTTCTTTCAATCGATCCTTATAGTGATTTCGTTGAAAGAAAGTTTGCTACAGACCATTTCAACATGATGATCAAGGAATTTGGCAAAGGAGACGGAATGACGATCGAAGATTACGCCAAATTTGAAAATTCAGAGACATTTAAGCACTGGAGAAGAGCTCAGGCTCTCAGATCTAATCTCCGCGATGCACTTCTTTCATACGTTCCTTCTGATAATTTTACAAAAAGATCTCAGAAAGAACTGCTGCAAATCATGGAAGGAATCGAATCAATTAAAGTTAAGTACTGGAATGATGCTCACGTTATGGCAGTACTTAAGAAGCATCAGTCTCGTGTTGAAAAATTGATCAAATCCAACAAAACTGAAACAAAATAAATATAGATTGTTTGAACAAATATGTACTATATAATGCATTTTTTCATTACATATCACCAATAATAGGTCTTATCGAAGAAATAAAATTATATATCCAAATTGAATGAATATAGGTGTTGTTTTAGCAATTCTGCAACTAAGAAGCATAATCAAATCCATCAGGTTGTACTTTGTTTAATGCATTCGATTTCTTCCTGCTAATTATATAACCAAGAATCGTTCATTAATTATCGTAATATTAGATAAGGGTTTCGTTTTGCTAAAATTGTCACTTTTATAGCATATTTGTTTTTGGATGTTTTGCGAAACCAAAAAAAAAAAACTATGATATACAATGTGTGTGTAAAGAAAATACTTTATTTACTAGTTAAAAAATCATTTGGTATTGATCAAGTTATTTTTTCTGGATAAGATATTATATGGATAATTGGATAGAAAATACAATTATATAATCTTGTACCTGGTTTAATTAAGCTAATTGTCATCAGAAACTTGTAATTTTTATGAATTTCAGATTTTCTTTTCATTACTGCTTTTCTTAATAGGTCAAGTTCTTATTTATGTTATAAAGTATGATATTTACAAATATCAAGTTATCGTGTTTTTTGAGAAATTATGAGAAACAAACAAAAATGAAAAAGATAGGAATAGCAATGAATAGTGATGTGGGTATAGAAAATGTAAGAGATATGAATGCAAAGCAATCAGTATTTAGGACATTGACCATAGATTTCGAAAAAAAAATGCTGCATATTGAGCGAAAACTATGATTATATTATAAGGCTGTCATTTAAAGCATAATGAAACTATTCCCTTTTCATTTTAATCGAATAAGATAGTAAAGATTTTTGAATTAGCTAGAAACTGATGAGATGTTTTCACAAATCAGATTTTTAATCTCTATAATGCATAATTCACTCAATATCTCAATTTTGATATTGCGAGATATTTTTGCTATCGGTTTCGCAATTTTGACACAATAGCAAGAGGGTTCTATAAGCATTATTATCAACGTAGAATCTGAATATCATATCAGAAAATGTCGCAAATCTGACATTTACCCGACCAAATAGCAAAAATAATTGAATACTTTTCGCCAAAACTTTAAAAATTGATAAAAATATGAAATATAGATATTAAAGAGACTTTTTATATAATATTCATAAAGATTTCCCAAAAATATGATACCGCAAAATTAAAAAAGTGACGTCTTGAGTGGAGTCAAAGGTCGAAATTGCTAGCTAAATGTTTTTTAGCAAAATTGCGTATTGTACGTTTTTTTCGCAAAACGAAACCCTTATATTAGATAAATTTAAAAATTATGCGATAGTGAAAAAGTAGTTTTTCAAACAAATTAATGTGGGAAAAAGTCAATAAAATTTAATCAAAAAAATTATTTGAACGATCATGAATAAAAATAATCAAATTGATCATCTTAGATAGTTTATATAAGATATTCTGCATAATGAAGTGTATTTGTTAGTGAATACAAATTGGTTGAACAACATTATGCAGGTTCTTATTTACCGTAACTAGAGGAATACAACTTTAACGAAATCTATTCGGGATTACAATTATAACTATCGTGATATTTAGAAATTTATGTATTTGACAATTCTTATCTAAGAATCCTTGACATCTGATGTTGGTTGCATACTATTTGATGATACACAATTTTGCAGTTTATTTTATGAAAGAGGAATGGATTTTAATAAGAAAATTTCGAGAATGAAGTAATTGAACAAAATGAAAAATGAGAAGTTCATCATCTAAACTTGCAACATAGTGAGACAATATATATTGTAATCATGTTTTTGGGGTTAAAACTGAATTATCCATTGTTTTGGCGTTTTTTATTAAATTGTGTGATGCGAAATTTGAAAAATATCCTTATATTAGAAATCGAGAATATGCATTTATGAGAATTTTGTGATTTTTTCAGAGTCATGTTGTTTATAAAATTAAGGGTGCACCCGTATGTACGTTTATTTGAGAGGAGGAGGATTACCCTCTCAATTTTGAGGGATTCGTTAGTTTATTTTCTCGATGAATATGCAATAAAATTTGATTTTTACCTTATCAATATACTTCATATAATATACACATGTTCATGTAAAAACTTTTTTCCAAAATCCTCAGGAATTAAGGGATTTTTGAATTTTAAAAATTTTTTTCGAATTTTTTCGAAAAAAAAATATTTTCAGAACAGCCTTAACGGCTAAGATTTAGGAACAATGTTAAGTATCAAAAAGAAAGGAGGTCTGATATAGACAACATATATCGTTGAAGGTTGAAAAAATCTCTAATATTTGAGCCCAAAATTTCAAATTTTAATTTTTTGAAAAAAGAGGCCACCCGTATGTACGTTTATTTGAGAGGAGGAGGATTATATTTTTGAAAGGGTGAAACATTATGAATATGTTAATTATATAATAATATGTATTATTATAAAAAAGAAAAAATAAAGCACGTTAAAATTTTTCTTTCTTGATTTTTTACAAAATCTACTTAGAATTATGCAAAATATGACTAAATAATTATAAATTTCAAGTTAAATTTTAATTTTGATAAATAATTTAAATTTCAAAATATCAAGTTCAGTTCGACTATGTATGTAGTAATTCCTCAATAAAGTGCCAAAATCCTATTAAAATATATGAACATTTTCAACATTTTAATGTTTTTATTTAAAATTTTGATGGAATATGAGCTTCAAACAATTATTATGTAAATAAAAATAATTAAATATATGTATTTATTCGTATTACAACCGTAGTAAGTCGATTCTTCCTTTCTTCTACTGAGGTTTGAATTTGATTTCGAATTGTAAAGAGATTCAAAGGGAAAATACTAGCGGATAAAAACTACCTCCATGAAAGGGTCATAATGGAGTCAAGTTGTATTTTTTGATATTTTTTGCTTTTCGAGCCTAAATAGGTAGCCAAGATAATGCCTAAAAATAAGGTTCTAAATTCTGAAGTTTACATGATCCTCTCGTGTGCACCCTTAAACCAAAAATTGAAAATAAATTTGAAAAGTAAGAACATTTGAATAGTTTATTATTATAGGCATATTTTATTGAAGATATATATAATATAGAAGAAGTACATCATAATCAAATTAATTATATTTTGAGAGTATTCTCAATATCAATGAAAAATCAAAATCAAGATAATGCTAATAATAATGTAACATTAAAAAATTTTCATTTTTGTTTTTGAATTGTTAACAAAATAATCGTCTTTTCTTCATCATTCAATTGAATGATTTCTAGTGGTTTTGTCAAAATAGTTGAAATAATTCCTCATTGAATATTACTAAATAGAAAGATTCAATTGTACTCTCCGAAATGTCAATTTTCTAAAAACTTCTCGTTTTTAAAGATTGCATATATTATTAATATTAATATCAATTATTAAACGTTGGTCGGTTTCTAATAAAAATCGTTAACATTCAATTTTTGTCATTCAAATTAATATATCATGTAACTGTTATATTATAGGTTGTTTATTATAATTTAATAATTTTCTAAAAAACCATTTGTGAACTTTAAATTCAAAATATCTCAAAATTGAATATTATAAGATTGAATTTTTCAATACTTTACAGCAAATCTTGGAAAATCATCTGAAATCCTATGCAAAGATATCAGATTCCGCTTATAATATTCATCATATCGATGGTGTTGATGTTGCTTTGCGCAGTTATAAAGCCAGATATTTACATAAAAATTAAGAAAGTAGGTTTTACTTTGGACACTTACTGGATACCATGTTTCATTGCAGCTATCATATGTATAATTTGGAGATTTATTCCAATAAGAGCATCCATTCATTATCTTTGGGAATTCTCTTCCTTGAACCCGGTTGGAATCATCATTCTAGTTTTTGCCACTGTTTATATCAGTATGTTCCTTGACACCACTGGTTTTTTCAAGATGTGCGCCACTTGGGCTATCAAGAAAGCAGGAAAGAGCGGAACTATGCTATTCTTCATCATCTATTTCACAGTTGCAGTTATTACAGTATTGTCATCCAATGATGTTGCTATCCTTACATTTACGCCTTTCGTTGCTTTCTTTGCTCGTGCAGCCCAGGTCAATCCGATTCCATATTTATTTGGTCAATTCATGTCAGCAAATAGCTGGGGTATCATGCTTATTATATCGAATCCTACAAACGTTGTTGTTGCTACTGGTTTTGGTCATTCATTTGGCTATTATTGCAAGTATGCAGTAATTCCAAGTATTGTTGCAGGACTTACTCCTGGATTATTAGTATATTTCATATTTAAGAAGCAAATCACTAAAGAAATTGTTATTAAAGGTGAACTTGCTGAGCCAATGTCATTAGTCAATAATAAAAGAGATATGTGGGTAGGGCTTTTCTTCTTAGGCGCCACAATTATTCTAATGGCTTGCAGTGAGATTCCTGGTTTCAATTTCGAATTATGGCAGATAGCAGGAGCAATGGCCTTGATATTACTTATATATAACATTGTTATTGATATCATTCATTGGAGAGAACCTCATCCTACAAAACTCAGAGAGATTTTATCAGAATTACCATATTCAATTATTCCATTCCTTCTTTCATTATTCGTATTGGTCAGTATTCTTACAGATACAGGACTCTTTGATGTACTTGGAAAAGCTATTGGAAAGATCTCAAACGTCTCAATGCCAATATCTGTTACTTTATATGGTATAATAGCAGCAATTTTCGGAAACATATTGAATAACATTCCATTATCTGTTGCTTTAGTTCCTGTCATTCAATCAATGAGAACAAATAAGCTTCTTGGACCAATTTACGGATCAATTATTGGAGCCAACTTATCTGCATTAATTACACCTCTAGGATCTATTGCAGGTATCATGTGGATATCATTATTGCGTGCAAACAAGATCAAGCTTGGTTTCAGTCAATTTATGTTAATTGGATTCATAGTAACACCTGTGACGCTAGCGCTTTCATTAGCATCGTTAATGATTGTGTTAAGCTTGTGGTAGTTTTTTAATCTATCTCTTTTTCTATTCAGAAGTATAATATTATAAAAAATTAAAGTTAAAAAATGCTTTTTCTGCCACTTCTTTGTTTGCCACAAGTATGTTTGGATGCTTTCAAAATAATTCTTCTTACTTTCTAGTTCATTCAAATATTGGATATGAAATCATACTATCCATGCGGTAAGAGTATATAAAACTTACTACTCTACGCATAAATTGTATGAATTAAAGAATTCTAGGATGCAAACTGTGTATTATAAAATTGGAAGATTCATCAAAAGAAATGATTCATTTCTAATTAAATATTTAATGCTAAAAGGTTAGATATCCTTTATGCATGTCAGAAAATCATTTTCTGTGAAAATCTAAGAATTTTGTAATGCTTCCTTCTTCTGATATCAATACACTTGTTCCCGAAATCAGAAGATTTTTCACTTCTAACTTCTTGGGATTAAGTCAGTCTACACTCAGGAAGCTATTTGCGGAAATGAAGGATCATTGTCGAAATTTATTAATTCCCTGCCAAAAATTATTAGCTTCAAAGGTTAGAGAATCAGATTGTATTAGTATTTCTCTTCCACCGGATAGAAAATTCATGTTTGAACAGCTAATAGTACTTGAAAAACAATTTAACAATGAAACTACAACAGCTATCGAAAAACGCATCAAAACTCTAACAGATATTATCAATACATGCAATATGTACCTCAATGGTGGTACAAAGATTGATGTCATGCCATGTAAAACTCTCCTTGATGTTCCTATTGAAACAATTGTTGCAGATGCAACAGCAAGTACTCGTAATTGCATCAGATCTCTACAGACTCTCATATTGTCCACTAAAATCTTTGTTGTTCCACAATCAAATTCTTCTGAAATTACAAAGGTAATACAATTCCTACGCCAGAATAGCGATGATGTAACATACTGGTATCCAAGATGTGACGATTCTGAAAGACTCTGTACTTATATCGCAAAATTTTATAAATTTAATTTTGAATCTGAAACGTCAATGCTGTCAAGTATTTTTAGTGTAACTCAGCAACTCTTATCCATTACTGGACTTGATATGGACTATTTTCCAACAATTTACTTTTCAGTTTATCGAATTGCGTTTGATATATCGTATCCTCGATTCTTCCAGTACGATTGCACTAAGAATTGTCTCATGTATGAGCATCCGAAAGAATTTTCTGAATCCGTGCAAACACAACTCAATATTATTAATAATTCCTTAACAGAGATATTATTGGAGACTAATCCTATTGATATTGGCTTTCATATGAATCATATCTTGAATGTAATCGGGTCAATTGTAAATTCTGAGCGAGAACAGAAAGGATTACAAATTTATACATTTATATCAGCAGATATTGTTATTGATGTACTTGAATCGATTTTATACATGTACCAGTTTACATATGGTTGCTATTTACTGAAAATAATAGAAAATTTCTGTACTCATCAAGTTTTTCCAAACAGCTTTCAGTATTCATGTCAATCATTTAGACTTGCTATACTAGATTTAATGAACAAATGAAATATATTAAATTTTATATTTTTTTGTTTTATAATAAAATTGTTTGTAATGTTATGCGGTAATTCTAGATATTTTTATAGATTGGCCAAGCAAAGATGAAATAACTTGATAATATAATTGAATCAAAGAAAATATTCTTTTAAATATTAAAATTTATAAATAAGAAAGAAAAACTTGAAGTAATAAGTCATAATATGTATGTTTATACAAGCAGTGATATAAAATAAAAGTGCTACAAAAAATTTTCACAACAAAGATAAAAGATATGTTGGAACCATGTTAGTTCTTGTTATCTAGTTTGGGTATTTTCAATAGACTACCTGATATTGGTGTAAAATCGTAATAAAATTCTAAAATATTTACATCTGGATCAGCATCTTCGTCAGTTCCTGGTTTTGGTTGAAATGTTGATAATTTGATTGTAAAATCCTCGATTGGTTTATAATTATCTTCATTTTCTTTGATAAAAACATGAACTTCTTCTGGTGATACTGTCCCACCATGATGCTTTGAAACTGTATACATAAGATCATAAATAGTTGCAGAGGAAAGGTCTAATCTTTTCTTGAAAGAAATAAAGGGGCATTCACGAAGATGAAATTGGACATCAATTGGTTCAGGAGTAGAATCAAAGAGGCCAAGAGATTGGCCGGCTGCTGAATTGGCTGTCTTTGCTGACCTGGCACTCATGGCAATGTAAAATTATTTTTTGACAATAAAATTTTCTATCGGAAATGACTACTTTTAAATTTCGTTTAAAATGCATTTTTTACAATAAAAATTCATCACAAGTTGCGCCTATTGAAATTTGAGAAGGCGAGAATATTTTTGGCAAAAATGGAAATGTCTTGATTTATAAGGTACAGGATTAATTTTCAATACAATATGGATAATGTTTGTCATTTCATTCAGATCGATGTAATCGAAATACGCATAATTTTATGAATAAAGCATAAATTCCGTTCTAAAATCTAAAATTATGTGATTTTATAAATATGGTATCATGAGGAACTGATAAATACCTAGGCAAGGAATATTTTGCCATATGAATGATAAAAACTGACAAAATCATATTTTTTCGATTAAATCCTTTTGAATGACTTTCGAAATTGAAATTTCTAATCCTATAATATCTCAGTTATCAACATTTTCAAGTGATCGTAAAATCGAAGTTCAGATTAATGGAAATGACCCAATTAACGTTGAACAATGTTTTTTGTATTTACTATGTAAAAATTTTCAAGAATTGTATACATCAGACCGTACAATTACAAAATATGACATCGATTTTAGCGTTAAATATGAAAAAATATTAATTGTATAAAAGATTTACTTTTGCATGGAAAAATTCAAGGTACTTTTGATTTTAACGAACTTGCTAACATAATTATAGCACTTAAAGAGATGCAATGCGATTATTTCAATGATTTGATTTCAAATCAAATAAAAAATAGCCAAAATTACAGGAAATTTCTACTTGATAAATACGAACATATAAAGCATGTATTCCCGGACAACACAATTGAAGAAATAATATTCATGACAGCTGATTCAGAAGATTATCTCGAATTTTTCCAAAGAATTTCAGTTGAAGAAGCATCACGGATATTAGGAAATGAAAATCTAAAGGTTTTTAACGAAGATCAAATTATCAGAACGATTACAAATTGTATCAAATCCAAAAAAGATGCTTCTTGTCTCCTAAACTATGCTCATCTTCAATATGGATCACTAGGCGTTGTCAAGGAAATTTTGGGGATATTTGAACTTGAATGGATAAAAGAAGATCCAAAGATTATGATGTTATGGAATATGTTGAAAGATTGTCTGAATTTTAATAATAATATAAAAGAACCATATCCAAGGAAACTGATTTCCACAATTTTTGAAACTTCTGATCTAATGAAGATTACGATTGATGAATATTTATTATTTAAACCAGGCATTACTTTTATTCCTCTATCTATAACTTATAGGCCCGGAACTAATGGACTTCAAATAAATGTGTATCATTATGGGGAAGATGGTAAAACAAACTCAGATAAATACTATAATGGTGGAACATTTCAAATGAATTCATTGGTCAAATGCTTGCATTTGAAAATATCTTGTAATTACTTAAAACCTTCCATAACAACTTTCATAGTTAAAGGTTTTATTTGTAATTAATTAAGTAGATCATAATAAAAATGTCAAATTAAAATTTAAGAATAAAAACTAATTTTTTTAATCCCGCAATTTTACAAAAATATAGGGTGTCCAAAGGTGCGTTTAGCACAGCGCTCTATATGAGACTATTAAAGGAGATATATGCTGATTATAAATATATAATAAAAAATATGAATATATGTATATGATGAGTATGTTGTATTTTGGCGCCATGCCGGGATATAAAATAAATTTTGAGACAAGAGGCGGTTTCGCGGGAAATTTTGGCGGGATTTTTTTCATTTTTTTAATGAATCATAAAGAAAACATCCTCGCTCTTGCAAAAAAATGCAAAGACTGTAAAAAAATCTACGAGACATTGGTAAAATGCTTCGGTATGGATGCTCCTAGCTATTCCACTGTAACGTATCATGTTAGGATGTATCACTTCATGAACAAGAAGGCGCCCATCATAAAAATTGACAAAAAATCGCCGGATCAAAGAAAAATCAAAGCAATTCTTCAAGCGCTAGATGAAGACCCAAGAGCATCACTCAGAAGGATAGAGGAGATGACAAAGATACCACGTACAACAGTCAGTTATTATCTGCACAATTATTTGAACTACAAACTAGCGTATACACGTTGGGTTCCGCACAACCTTAATTCAGTTCAAAAAAAATCTAGAGTCCAATCTTCGAAAGAGCTCCTCTCTATATTGGGTGCGTATCAATCCAAGAAGTTTCGCTTTTTAGTAACAGGGGACGAGTCTTGGTTTCAATATGCAACAGAAGCCAAAATCATGTGGATCCCAAAGGATGAAAATCCGCAAACATTCCCGAAGAAAAAAATTGACACACCAATGATGATGTTGTCGGTTTTTTGGGGGCGTGAATGGCATCATCGCAATTGATATTCTTCAAAAACCTAATACGATGAATGCTCAGTATCTAATTGACAATGTTCTTACTCAAATTATCAATTCTGATGAGTTTGAGAAATCCAAACAACAAAAACAAAAGTTTGCAATTCATTTTGATAATTCAAGAGTTCACAAAAGTCATAAGGTAATGAATTACTTGTTGGAAAACAATGTCAAAGTTGTTCCAAACCCAATTTATTCACCTGATATTGCACCCTCTGACTTTTATTTATTCGGCACGCTAAAAAAGAGAGCTGAAGGACGCGAATTCGCGAGTCCAGATGATCTTGAAAATTTTGTAAGAGAGCAATTTGAGCAATTTTCTCATGATGATTTAAAGCGTGTCTTTCAAGCCTGGATCGATCGCTGCGAACGCGTGATTGAATCCAATGGTGATTATATTTAAATAAACTTTATATATATGTAACTTGTTTATTTCTATTCGCAGTATTCAGGTTTGTGCTAAACACACCTTTGGACACCCTATAAATTAATTGGAGCAGGGGGTTTTAGGCATTACTGAAAACGTATTGTTGTCCGCAGTCATCGTTATTGTCGTCATCTGTGACAGAGAATGAGTTGCTTTCATTGCAAGATGTGAAGAGTGGGTTGTCCATTGTTGTTATTTCTTGAGATGGATTTGTTGGAGCGAAGATTGTTTCTTCCTGGAGTTCAAATTCATCATCATCTGAGGAAGACTTATCTTGTCCAGCTTGTTTCTTCTTCAAGAACAAAATAACAGCGACAATAGTTAAAGCAATCAGAGCAATTACTGCGATTACTATACCTGCAATTAATCTACCTTTAGAACCCTTCGAACTCTTCTTTTCATTTTGTTTGTTAGGATCCTCATTTTTATCGAGTCCTGGTGTTACTTTTTCTGTTTCACTTGGAGTTATAGCTGGAGTTTCTTGTGGTGTTTCAATTGGTGTTCTATCGGGATATATAACATTGATCGTTGCTGTTTCAACATCTGATTTCATTCCATCATTATCTTTAACATAAGCAAGGATTTGCTTTTCACCAACATCTTCGTTACCTGGAACAGTTATTTCAATTTCGAATTCCTGATCGCTTGCATCAGATACGAACGTCTTCAATGATTCTTCATCATGTTCTGCAAATTTGACAATGATTTCGATTTCTTTTCCGACATCTTTATCGCATGCTGTTCCTTTGATAACGAATTTAGTTCCTTGAATAACATTTTCCTTATCAACGGTTATCTTTGAAATTGTTGGAGCATGCTTGATGTAAAATCGCTTCTTTGGATTCTCTGAGAAACCTAATTCATCTGTATCCTTTCCTACGATTGTTAAACTATGTTCTCCATATTCTAAGCCATCAGGGATGGTGATGTCGATTGAGAAATCTTTCTCTGCTTCATTCGATTCTATGCTTGATATATGGCCTATTGAAGTCGAATCGATAAAGAATTCTAAATCAATTGTCTTTCTTGATTTAACATTTCCTTCAACGGTAATTTTTTCTCCTTCTATGTAAACCTCTTTTTCAGTGAAACGTGGGTTGATTTCTGGAGTAAATGTAACTAATAACTTCAACTCTTCAGCGAAAATTGATTTGGAATAATCAGATACTTGAACACTGGCATCTTCATTATCATTGACTATCAATTTGATAGTGTTCTCTCCGTAATGGAATCTATCATCAACTGGAATGTTCATTAAGAAGTCTTGATTATTTGATCCTCTAGATTCCTTTGTATCATATCTTATTATATTTGTACCGTCATTGATTTGTGCAAAGAAATGAAGTGGTTTGTTAGTGTCTTGATCGTTGAATTTACCTGTGATTTTAGCTTGGTTAGACATCAATAACTTGTCATTATTAAGCGTTGCTGAAACTATTTCTGGTTTATTTCTAATGCTGAATTTGAAGTTATTCTTGGCATCTGATTCCTTACTGAATTCATCAACTGTGTAAATGCTTAAATCATAGTCATTTCCGTAAACATAACTTCCTGGAAGACTGATTGTAGTGCTATCGCTTACTTCCACGTTATTTGACGTATAAGTTGACTTGGAATTCTCGATTTCTGTATTGCCAATCTTATATTTGATTGATCCTGTTGTATCATCTTTGATCCTATATGTAACTCCAATTGGATTCTGGGAATTGAAGAATTTAACATCAGGATATGTGACAACACATGTTGGTTTAATTGTTACATAAACTGAAGTTGTCTCTTTATTTGAGAACGAGTTTTTAGATGATTTTAAGTCAGATGCATAGATTTCGATATTGACAGTACCATAATTTTCACTTTCAACAGTGTATTCGTAATTGAATTCAGCTGGTGTATCTTTTTGCGTGATTGGTAATATTTGATTCATAATCCTGCCGTTAATAATGATGTAAACATTCTTCTCTGGATCAATATCTGTGACAGTTCCTGTGACTATGATTTTTTCACCCGAAAGCATTCCGTTTGCCTTTTCGATGTTTGTGATAGCTAGTGTTGGAGGATTCTTCACAGTAAATTCCTTAGGAAATGAATCACTTGTAAATTGATTATTATCCACAACATGTAACATGATAGTATAAGGGGTACTCATATAAGTTAATTCCTGAGGAATTTCGAACGGGAAATTGAAATTGTTGGCCAGTTTTTCAACTTTGTAATTAGTAGCAATGGCAAATTTTCTCTGATCTCCGTTATTTGTAACAATTGCTGTGATATTAACTTTCTTATCACCACTAACTTTACCATTCAAAACTAAATTTTCTTTTGTTTTGACTTCTTTTTGTGTTAAATCATTTAATGTTATTGATGGCCTAAATGTTACATATAATGTATATTCTTGTGCGTTATTATAAGCACTTTTCTCATCTAATGTGTAATAAATCGGATTATTGCCTGGATATAAAAATGCACTGGTTGGTACATCAAAAATGCCTTCATGAACTTGATTTTCTGTACCGTTCGAAGTAATAATTTGATTATAAGTATAAGGAGAAGAATCAATTTGGAAGAATAATTTCAATTTCTTTCCTTCGTCATAATCAGTGAATTTGATTGTAAATGGGATCTTCCTATCATTTTGTATTGCAGGTCCCATCTTAAAATCGACATATTTAAGACGATTACTTATTACTAGTGTAGCAAAATTGGATGAATTCTTTGCGACTCCAAATTCATCAATTGCTCCAGCAGTAATTGTGTATTTATTTGGATATTTATATTTCTGCTGGTCCAACCTAAGTTTGAAATCAACAACTTTCTGTCCACTTTCTGTTTTATAATGTGTTTGATCAACAGGTTCATTGTTTACATATAAAATGCATTCTCCTTCTGTATCGTCAACAATCTTTACTTGAATTGTTATTTCTTGGTCTTTCGAACCTTTTATTTCACCTGTTTTAACGAGACTTACTGTTGGAGCAAGTGTAATCATCATATAGAAAGTTCTGTCATCAGATCTAGAATTACTTTTAGCATGATCAGCGATTTGGATTGAATCGGCAAGCCATACAGTTATGCTCTGATTTCCTTTGGCTCCATCTGCTCTGATAGACACTTTAGACTTTTGGCCATTTGATCCGTTTGAGTTTGAAGATAATGGATAATTAACTGCATTTCCATTTCCGATTTTGGCAAAGAGATACAATGGTTTTGTATTGTCTTTGTCATCAAATGTAATGTCAACATCAAAGTCTTTTCCTGGATCAACCATATCGACTTTAGGTGTCGCTGTAATGAGATTTGGTTTATTCTTTACATTGAATTCAAATGGATATTCAGCAGTGGAAACACCCAATCTTCCTTCAACATATATTACAATCTTATGTTTTCCAAAGCCTATTGGATTCTGCTCTGTATTGAATTCTTTGGTGAATGTTTGTTCTGTAATGAAATGATCCTTTTCAAATGCTTGTTGTCCATCAAGTTTATAATAAATATCTCCGTCCAAATCAGTATCTGTAACTTGAACTCTGACAGTGATAGTTTCAGCAGTTGCGAATATTTCTTGATTTGGATAATCAACAGTAATAGATATGTTATTGGCAATTGGTTCACTATATGTTTCGGAATTAGAATATCTATTGAGCTTAGTTTGATCGTCGGATGCTGAAACCCAAACTTTCAGATCATATTCTCCTGATTGTTTTCTTTTAATAGCATCAACCTTAAAATCAAAATCAATATCACTCTTTGGATTTGACATTTTAGTTATGAACTTCCTTGTTGATACATCATCGCCAATTTGAGAGTAAATATATAATGGCTTTTCACTATCAATATCTTTGATTTTTCCTGTAACAGTTAAATCATCATCTTTTGTAACTCTTGTCTTTGAAAGATGAACATCCTTTAATGTTGGTGGATTGATAACATAGAAATCAAATTTGCCTTTTGAAGTACTTGTTAAATTGAATTCATCTATTGGATAGAATTCAATTGTGTGTTTCTTTAAGCCCTCATATTTGCAATTTTCTGGAATAGCAATTGTTTTATCCAAATGATAATTATAATCCCCAGTTGAAGATGGTGGTACAGATTTATCGACTTCATATGGTTCATCGATCTTCATATCATTTCCATCTAAGAAGAATTTGAATGTTCCTTTGGATTCATCAGAAATTGTGGCTGATAATTTGAATGTATCAATTGAGTTGTAATAGTGTTCTTCTGGATATTGATATGTTGTGGCTTTTGGAGGATCAGAAATATTGACAAGAATAATAAATTGTTCCCTAGATTTGTCATTCTTTGAATTGACACTTGTTTCATCTTTATCAGCCCAGATTCGGATTGGAACATTCATTCCTGCCTTTGTCTGAATCCTGTATTCGAATCGAAAGTCTTGTCTTTTACTTCCATTTGAATTAAATGATGTATATGCAGCTCTTGAAGCCCATGTGTAATTTTCCGAAATATCACCGTCATTGCAATAGATATATATAGGCTTTCCATCATCAATATCCTCTAAAATACCTGTGATTGTTACTACACCTTCTGTATCTGGTGTTATAAATGTGTCGTTCATCGTTGCTTCAGCAATTTTCGGTGGATTGAGAATTGAAAATGTCTTCTTTGATCTAGAATCTCTCTCATTTGATGATTCATCTTCATTATCTGTGGCAATTGCCATCATTGTGTATGTTTTATTCCATTTATATTTTTCAGGGATTGAAATATTATATGTGATTTCATATTTGTTATCAGGGAATAGATAATTCTTTAATATATCTGGCATCTCAAATTCTGATTCCTGAGCCATCATCGGTAACTTTCACTGTAATCTCTATTTGTTCGTCAAGGGCAAATATTTCACCTTTCCAAGATATCTCAACTTCTGGCTGAACTACAATTTTTACTGAAGTTTGGAAATTATCGGATTTGACATTTTTATCGTCGTTATGGCTATTATCTGATGTTGCATAAACTTCCAAATTATGAACTCCTGTTTTCCTATATCCATTAGTTAGTTCAGATCCAAATATTTGCGTTCCACCATTAGATTTTTTCGTTCCTATATTTCTTATTGAACCATCAGTCAGATCTTTCACATAGAAATTTAACCACTTTCCATTGTCTTTGTCAGTAAATGTGATTGTGAAATCAACGTCTGCACCTGGAGATAACTTTTGAGTATTTTCAACTTTATCTATTTTTGGTTTGCTTCTGATTTGGAATGGGAATGGTTTGTTTACTGCTGCTTCATAATCGAATTCATCAATAACTTTTGCAGTAAATTGATATTGAGTATTATATTTATATTCACTAGTGATTGTAACAGGAATAGCCTTAGTTTTTGTGCCATCATCGAATGGATAATTAATTGTTTTTTCTCCTAAACCATCATTATAAACTACCTTTCCATTTGTGTCATCATCAACTGTTACTGTAAATGTCACAATGTCGCCTTGTCCGAAAATATTTTGTTGATCTTGTGGAGGAGTCAATGTAATAGATGGTGCTTTTGTGATTGTAAATGGCACTTTTTCTTGGCGAGTGGTTTTTGAGTTCTTTGTTTTTTCAATGCAGTAAACCTCGAGCTCATATTGTTTAAGTTCTAGCTGTGGAACTTCGAAAGTAATTGAAAAAGTTTGTGGATTCTGTGATGGATCTGATACTACATCATTTTCTGTTGAAAATTCTGTGCCATCTTTAAATTTCAATTTGAACTGAATGTTCTTTCCCTGATCTATATCTGTGAACTTTCCAGTGAGTGTTATACTTGTTCCAGCTGTAGCATTAGTTCTTGTTAACTTAATTTCACCAAATGTTGTGGGATTGAGAACAAAGAAATCAAATGTTTCTGGAGTTGAGCTTACTCCATGAGTATCTTTGGCATAATATGTAAGAGTTTTAGAACCCATCTTCATATCTTCTGTGATAGGTACTGAATACTTTTGATTGTTTGCTACTGCGCCTTCTTCAGCAAGATTATTAATTTGGACTTCACTTTGACCTTTGCCTGTAATATCTTGAACAATTGATATTTGGCCGCAGCCTTCAATTGAATAAGTTATGTCTATTGTATCTCGAACGGCAAATGTATTCTTGGCTGGTATCTGGTTTATTGTAAACTGCATGCCATAAACATATGTATCAGATGTTGCATATTGATTTGATGAGCATATTTGAGGATTGTCATCTTTGCTCTCTCCTTCACATACTCTATATTGAAATCTAGATAATAATTGAGAAGCTGATATAGTTGTGTCAAGGATTTCTCTATATCCGTTTGCTTGAAATCCTTTAATGGGACTCCAATTATTTTTAAGTCCCTTGTATAACTTATATTGTGTTCCTGCTTTAAGACCTTGGACTTCAATTTTGATGGCAACATCTGTGCCACGATAAGTGTAATATCTTCTAGTATTGTAAGGTACTAAGTTGATTACTCCAGTTCCTCCAACAAAGAAGTTAAATCCGAAAGTAGCAGAATCTGTTGTTCCTAATGATCTCTTGTTCCAAACGAAACGAACATACAAATCTGTGTAGCTATCATATGTTTTTAAGTCATCAATTGGTTCAAATTTACCTGTTTCTTTGCTAGGTTCTGAAAATGGGCAATAATAAACCGAATCTGGAGGAATATAATCGTCAGTGTTGCGAAAATTGAAAACTAATTGTTCCCATTTAATTGCTGCTTTGTCATTTGTAAAGATACCTTTTATAGAAATCAGTATGAAATGTGTTTTGGCTTATTGGAAGCATATCAGACATAATCGCCATAATCAAAAAATCTATATACCCAATAAGTAATAAATTTGTCGATATAGATTTTCCATAAAATTAGTTTTTAGTCTGATCTTAAAATAAATTTAATTTTTTATAAAAAAAATCACATTTAAAAGTACCTTTTTAGTAGCTCGAAATCCTGTTGGTGGATTTGGGGCGTACTTCAAAATTAGCTTTTCTTCTACATATGCAAGCTATATTTTAAATATGGGGCAAATCGGATCGGCGAAAGGAGTTTAGTTACCTTTAAAATATTTAGAAAACAAAAAAAAATGTACTATAAGTGTGGTAAGCATAATGAAAATGCAGCCAGAGGACTGATCGGGTATCTTATTTCCCCTGCAAATGAAGTCTTATGAATTTTACCAAAAAATAAAACTTGGCTGTGTGGACTATCTTTTTCCATCATAATAAAGTTCTTAACTGATTGTGTCTTAACACGTTTACCGAAATTTAAGTAAGGAATACCATCTTTCATGGTAGGAGGTTGTGGAATAAACTGTTTTGCACGAGAATCGGGTTTTGTCAATGTTGATCCATGATTTGAGTCATAGTCTAAATCATGGACTGGTACAAAAGCATTGAATAGCCTATATGGAGAGTTTTGTTTAATAATCGATTTAAATTCAATAGCTGTAATTTCTTTGTTCTCGGATACTGTATAAAACGAAAGTCTAGAGAAGTTCGATTCGGTTTTTGCAATAGTTTGTTGTGAACTATCATTATTCAAATAATATTTTATCGAAATACCAGAAATTGATGTCTCAATGATGGCATTCATGATGAATTGATCTGTGGTTTCGTCAATGTATGAGTATTTTGGTCCTTTTTTGGATTCTTCTGTTAATGATATTGTAAAATATGCTGTAGACCCTTTTGGAACTGGAGAATGAATATTTGTAGAATCGACAATATATTTTTTATTGTTTTCATCGATGTTCGAAGCAAAATCAGCTTCATCATCTTCGAGATCTTTGATTTCTACCGAGATATTTGCATTTTTGGAACCTGTGTTGTTTAAAGGTGTAATAGTATCTCTTTCTGGTGACCATGGTTTCGTTGGTGTTGAATTTTGATCAGAATCGTTTTTAGACTTCGGAGATTCAACAAAATTAGTATTATTTTTAGGTTCTATGATCCTTGGCGGAGGAGCTGATGGTTCTGTGATGCGAATTGGAGGTGCTGATGGTTGAATAACTTTTTCTGGAGTATTTTGGGGCTCAGTAATCTTAATTTGTAATTGTGATGGTGAGATTTGATTTGGAAGTGGCTTTGATGGTTCTGAAATAATAAATTGAGGTGGAGATGCATTAAAATCTTCATGATTACTATTATCAGATAGCGATGACTTTCTTTTTATGTTATGTTGTCCTTTCATTGGAGGAGGAGGCATAGGAGGTGGAGCGATTTGAAATTTTGATGATTTGACTGGTGTCGATGGTGTAATATAATCGTTTTCTTGTTGTTTAATAGGTGAATTTATCAGATCCATTGGATTTTTAATTTCAATTGTCGGAATATCTACTGATATTATTTCTTCTCGTTCATTTAATAGCTTTCGTCTTCCTCTTACAGGATAATCTTTATTAGGCATAGATGTTGGAGGTTGTTGTACTTCTATTTTTTGAAGTTTCGCAGGATTTTTATTGGTTTGAAGAAATAAAGGTATATAGTCTGGCTTATATGAAGTGAACGCATCTATATTGAATTCCTGATAGTACATACTGCTTGGATCTTTAAATTTGTGTTGATATTTTTCAAGGAAAGTTTCAATATTATCATCTGTCATAAATGAATACGTTTTGAATAATCAAAATTTGAAACTTGCATCATAGTTGAAAATGTACTCTTACCGATGAAATAAATATCCCAATATTGCAAAAATGTAAAGACGATTTCGAAATTTATTGGAAATTAAGATGTCATTAATTAAAATTCTAATATAAAAATCTATAACAGCTTAACCAAACAATTCTAAGGATTAATTTTAGTTTTGGAATAATAACCTTAAAAGTGCTCAAGGTAACTTTGAAAGCGAAAGTCACAGAAATTCAATTTTTAAATATTAATGATCTACATCAAGTTTTATTATTAATTTATCAGAAATGAATCCGAATTAACTCATATTGGCAGTATTATCTCTCAATTTTGAAATAACTTTTTTATGACATCGGAACCGGCCATCAATACTAAACTTCGAAATCAGATTAGGACAGCTTGTGAAGAGTTCCACCTTGTTGAGCCAGGTGATAGAATTCTTATTGGCTTGTCTGGTGGTAAAGATTCACTCACACTTACGCATTTCCTTTCTGAGTTAATGCGTGAGAAGAACTTTGCATTCAAAGTAGTCGCAGCACACATCAAATTCAAAAACCTTCCATACGGAATTGACGCACAATACTTACAAGATTTTTGTGAATCTCGCCAAGTCGAATATCACTTAGTTGAAGATAACATTCGCGAAGTTTACCTCGAAAACGATCACAAAGAAACATGCATTCACTGCTCACGTTTCCGTCGTGCAAAATTAATGGAACTTGCTCGTGTTTTCAGCTGCAACAAGCTTACATTAGGTCATCATCTTGATGACATTGTTGCTACACTTATCATGAATATGACTCACCATGGTCGTTTCTCATCAATGGCTGTAAAACTCGACATCACTGCAGGAGAAGAAAAATACAACATGACTATGATCAGACCACTTGCTTATACTCCAGAACTCGATATCAAGCAGTTTTGCGTTGAAAATGAATTCCAACCAGCCAAATGCAGATGTCCATGGGGTGATACAGGCATTAGATCGCAGACAAGAGCTGCTGTTGATGATATTGTGTCTAAACTTGGTGAAGAGGCTAGACTTAATATTTTCCGTTCCCAGTTCCACATTATTAAGAAGACAGCTCCAGAACATGTTGATCCTCATGAACATAAGCACCATGGAAAGAATAACTCTGCTCCAAATACTGATATTGAAGATATTGGAAAATAAATAAGATAAAATAAATAGAATAGATAAAAACATACTAGTTTAAACCCATTTTTAACTGACTTAAAACTATTTTTCAAATTTCGAAGTTTGTAATTCCTATCTAAATCATGAAGGGATTTTTATGTATAAAACTTTAGACTTATTACAAAACACATTTAGAACAAGTTCTGATCTTGTAAACATATGACTTTAAATATTTAATTTGAATTTTTCCCAAAGAAATTCTGAGTATTCAATGTCTTAAGAAAAAGTAGTTTGTTTTTTTGTATGTGTGTGTGTTTAAAAAAAAAAGAAAAGAAAAATAAATAATCAAATAATCAAATTAGCGAGCACCAGCGGCGTTCTTGAGGATACCGATGAGTCCGTCACCAGCCATTTCCTTGGAGAGTTCAGCAGTGAACTGGTTGATGATAGAAACAGCGAGGATGATACCTGTTCCAGATCCGAATGCAGACAAGAAGTCAGCGACGAATGAGAGGAGAGCGACAAGGATACCACCGAGAGCTGCAGCTGTTGGGATGTAGCGAGAAAGTGTCTTCTCGAGTCTCTTCTGGTCTTCTCTGTGTCCCTTGAGTGTAAGGTGCTGCTTCTTGAGGGCTTCAGCGACATCAGCTGGTGCCTGGTTGGAGAATCTAAGGTAGTAGTATGAGATGAAGCCGGCGGATGAAAGAGAGAAAATGAGGTAAATAATTGTATGAAGTGGGTCGTGGATTGTTTGTTGGATTGACTGTGGTGCTGTCAAGTAGTAGATAAGGCCGGAAACTGGTGTGGAGTAGTCATAGGACATTCCGTTGTGTGAACGCCAGACACCGAAGATTTGTGTGGCAAGAGACTCTGGCCAGTGGAAGTAGATGGTGCGAGAGAAGCCAGCGAGCTGGGAAAGGATTGTAGACTGGATGATAAGTGGTGTGTTGGAGCAATAGAACAACTTGATCTCGAATGGCTCTGGACAGGCACGGTTGACTGTTGTTTCGAGGCCAATGTTGATCTTGATCTGATCGAAGTAGACGCAAGCACCGAAAACAATGACTGTTGAGAATAATTGGCAAAGATTTGGTAATTGTGGGCGGAAAACGATATCACGGAGTGCGCGTAGCTTGTTCTTGCGTGTGAAGAGGTAGTGGAAGAAAGCAATGACAAGGCCTTCGTACTCTGTTCCGCGGCCCATGGAGTAATGGTTGAATGAGAAGAGTCTCCACATGATCATTTCGCAGATGTTTGTGCAAATGAAGAGGGAAATGCCGGAGCCGATACCATAGCCGTTCTGGCAAAGTTCATCGAGAAGAATGACAACAATAGCAGAAGAAACAAGCTGTGTCATGATGAGAGCAGCGTTGACAAAGCCGATTTCGCCACGAATACCGTACTCGCCGGACCAGATAGCGTTACCAGCCTGGAAAGCTGTCATGATGATGCCAGCTAACTTCTGAGCAGCATCGAAAAGAGCGGAAGCCTCTGGATCGGATGGATTTCTGTTGATAAGACCGAAAGAGCAGAGGAACTGAAGGATCATACCTGAAGTAACGATTGGGGAAATACCGAATTCCATAAGAGAATACTTAGAAGAAGCTGTAAGAATACGAAGGTGCTGCATTGGGTCATCACCGGCTGTCTTTTGGACGCCATAAAGTGGAACAAGTGTGCAGATTAAATATAAAGCCAATGAAGCGAATGTATAGAATAACCGCTTGCGAATTGGAACCTTCTTGTTTGGACGTGGAACGTTTGGCATAAGTTCAAGAACAGGCCTGATTGACTTAAGTATATCAAAACCCATCTTTTTAATTTATAAAAAAAAAATATTTGGCCGATAATATTTCTGATTTCAGGAGTTTGATTTTTCTGTATTTATATTTACTTTGACCTTCTGTAATAATGTGAGCATAAGGTTTGAAAAATTGAATCGGCGGTTAACTTCAGGAATAAAAAAAATCCAAAAAAAAGCACCGATGGGATTCATCATTACGTACTGTTCTCCTTCGGCATAATAAATCATGTCTTGATGAGTAAGTTTAAAGCAAATGTCTTAAGTTGTGTTTCTCAATAACATCCGAGTCTATTTTTCATTTGTTTTTTTCTATATGCTAATATATATATGGGAATGATCACGCTCTAAGCAAGCTATAAATTGGTATGCTCTAAAGGACTAGTAACTAATGTATATATCATAATGACCAAATTCTATTTCCAATTTGAAATTAAGCGGACAAAAATATGGCAATTTGAGGTTTTCATAAGCTATCTATACAAATATTTGTTTATTGGTTTTGGATGTTTCTTCAAAAAAAGGTGACCAAACTATTTTTTGAAAGTCCGCCATAACTTTAATGGTACTATTTCAGCGTGTACAATGAATACAAAAATTCTAAGAGTGCCACATAAAATAGTACTTTAGACTTGAGTTAATGCTACCAAGCAAATGTTAAAAAGATGACTTTAGTGTTTTGATAATCAAAGATTAAAATCATTATTGTCTAAATCAATAATCATAACGACAGAAGTTAATGTTTTTTCATAAGTGCTTTAAATCCACTTTTAAAAGTATACCTCAAAAATCAAAATATCAAAAAAAAATTGGCCGATAGGTTTGGCTTTAATTTTTGTCTGCTTTTATGATTTGATATGGATGTTATAATTTTAAAAGTTGAGCCAAATTCACCAATAGATTTTTGAGATTTGCAAATACTCAATAATTTTCAGCGTGTTATCTTTTATTAAAAGAACTATTTGGTTTCAGTATCATATAAATTGATATTTACTTTCTATTTGAACCTTCATTTAGCTAATGATTTAGTAATACAGATTTCATCTAATCCTTATAAGAGAATTTTGAATTTGTTATAATAAAAAAACAAACAGATATAGCTTACACTTCTATAATAAAGATACCTTTTATAGAAATCAGTATGAAATGTGTTTTTTGACACGTAAAGCTCTCAATTCATTATAACATGTTTGTCGATTTTTATATATTTTTCGCTTTCATTATCTATGATATTAAAAATTATGTCATCAGAATGTGAAATAATTAAACAAATGCCCTGCGGGAAGTATTTTATACTAGAATTTATAAAAAAAATCACTGTACGTTTAGCCTACTGGTTATGTCGTGGGGTTCAAAGGCAATATGTTCAAATCAGTAAGCACCCAGTTTTTTTATTTTTTTAATTTTTTTTAACAAGGTGAATATAACTTTTGATCGAAATCAATGAGTTACATGAATTATCATTTATCTAACTACAATTAAATTGTGAAAATATACTATCCAATATTAGCGTTTAATAAAATCAAAGATTATTGACTTATATTTTGAAAGTAATCTAAGCAGAATTTAGATATCCAAATTCTAAATATCTTCATGCTTAGATGCTAGATAATATATTCTTATTTGAAAAATTTATAATGTTATTATTTTCTTATTTGATATTTACTACAAGCAGAAAAGCATTTATATTGTAAATTAACAGATTATGATAATTATACTCGTTTTTATATGTTCTTAATGAAGAATATCAAACGTATTTCTATGAGTTTTAAAAAATGAAAAGTTTTAATATGGCTAATATATTTATTATCATTAATAGAATAAAAAAGTTTTTTTCGCATATCACTCGATGATTTACCTTCGAGTTTTGATAAATTTCGAAAAAATTTAAGGAATGCTCTTTGAATTTCTTTACCTATAAGCATATTATCTGCCGTATTATTTTTCGCTAATTGTAGAATTTTATTTAATTTTAATAATTAACCTTCTAAGCTTATTGAGAGATCACATTGTATATTTGATACGTAGTACATATGCTAAATCTGTGAATTAGATTGTAAGATATTGAACAAATGTTCTTAAACATTTTAGATTTTAGGGAATTACTGAATTAAACTATATTTCTTATATGATATCTTCATGTTTGGATGCTTTGGGTATAATTTATTGGGCTTTTTCTATCCAAATGTTTGGCAATGGTAACCCAATTTCTAACAAATTTATGATGGAAAAATTTATGACTTTTATGGAGCCGAAAAAAAAGCATAGAATGAATAAGACTATTAAAGATAAGCTGTAATTTGATTGTGAATTTTAAGAAATGAATTTGGATTAAAATTTGAAATTCTTTTTTTTGAAAATTAGCCGATGATATGCTTAAGCTAAAAATTACTAGAAGCGGTGTGATATAATTTATATAAAAACAAAATACAGCTTGATTTATATAGTAATTTATGCTTTACATGTATTTTATATAAATTTTTATTGAATTCAAATATTCAATAGTTTTTTTATGCTAGATTAGTTGTATTTATTTAAATATATTATATTGGCAACCTTTCTTTACCCTGTCCTAATAAACGCATTTTGTAAAAAAATATAGTGCATCAGTTTCGAACTAGCGTCCCCGGTACCAAATAGTAAGGGGTAATAACCATTCGACCATTTGCCACGTAAAGCATCGCCAGATTTTTTTGTATTTAATCACTCCCAAAACACTGTTTTGGCTTATTGGAAGCATATCAGACATAATCGCCATAATCAAAAAATCTATATACCCAATAAGTAATAAATTTGTCGATATAGATTTTCCATAAAATTAGTTTTTAGTCTGATCTTAAAATAAATTTAATTTTTTATAAAAAAAATCACATTTAAAAGTACCTTTTTAGTAGCTCGAAATCCTGTTGGTGGATTTCGGGCGTACTTCAAAATTAGCTTTTCTTCTACATATGCAAGCTATATTTTAAATATGGGGCAAATCGGATCGGCGAAAGGAGTTTAGTTACCTTTCTTCAAAACCAAATTCTAGAGAAAATAGTATGAAGAAAAGTAGTTATGACTTAAAATTGCATTTTTTGTTGTTTCTTTTGTTGTATAAATTAAATCTAGTAATCGATAAGACTAAATCAAAATCAAAACTGCTTAAATGAACTAAAACTACTATTCATATATCTATTTTATGATGATCTGATTCGATAAATAGATGTGTTAAGATGGCATTAGCTCTTAAATACAAAATTTGTAACATATTCTTGTATTTTAACATGGATGGTACGTAACATATATGCTTATGCTATATATTAGAGTAACATAGTTTAATCATCCAAATATGGAGTTTAATAATAAATATTTCATTAAATCAATTATTTTCGATAACTTCCTCCAAATGAGCGAAAATATTTGAATTTCTAATAAATCGTCTTGAAATGAGATTGTTGAAAATTCAAAAAAAAAAATCAATTTCCAATAATTTGAATTGAGGTATTGCTTAAAGTATATATTGGTTTTGAAGGATTTCTTTCCTGATTTTCTCAATTTTTAGAAATTCAAAAGATTTTGGTCAAAAGAAATAGCCAACACTGGTTTAATCAATCTTTTAATAGTACTAGATTTCAGACTCCGCGTGGCTAAAATCCATCGTCAAATCTATCGAAGGAATTTTTAACGATGTGAAACAAAAATCAAAATTTCTTTAAGATTATTGGTAAACAAGACAATTATCAAAGTTATTATCCTAAATTCAATGAAAATTCTATCGTCCAATTTCAATCAATTATCATCAAAACTTGATGTATACACTATATTGGATATACATAAAGCTAAAAAATTGAATTGTGAATTTGAAAAATTGAATATTTCTTTATCGTTAAAATTTCATAAACAGGTAAAAATATTTAGAATGTTTCCAATTCTTTTTGGCCTTTCAACATCAATTTCTGATGAAGATGTCTATTCTAGAATCAAACCTGGCTATAATAATGTATCTTTAATCTCAACTAAACGCTATTTCAAAGTAGAAAGTGGTCATCTTATATTATTCCTCGCAGAATCAACTAATGATTACACAGGTATAGCCCATAGTGATAATGAAAAGACAGAGCTATTTAAGAATGAAACATTCGGTATTAATTTCAAGAGCAGGGGATATTTAGAGATGCTCTCACCAAAATTCAATTCAATATATGCCGTTGACTTTTCTAGGTTCAAATATCCATCATGCAGTGAAAATATCGCTTTAATTGGTAGTGGATCATTAAATGTTGGCTGCTCTCAAGGAGCTGACTATGTATTAGAAAAAGGTGACAGTGTTTGTGTTTATTATGCATTTCCTAAAACAATTTCGACAGCTACTCTCACTAAATCTTCCACATTATCTACAACAGTCTACACAGCTATAGGTGACGTTACAAAGTCAGACAATGTTACACAGCCATTCATGATGAGAATAGTATATAACAGTAATACATGTGATGGCTCTACTGTTGGTGCTACAGTTACTTATAATGAAACATCAACAGTACTTAGCATGAAGTTATTACCAGAAGGCGGCTATCAGCTTGGTTCAGTTGGTAAATTTGCTGGCTGGGTTGCCGTTCTTGTTGTTATTTCTGTTTTATCCATTGTTATCTTAGGAGGTATAATCGTTGCAAGTGTTGTTCTTGGTATTTGCTGCTACCACTGCATCAAAGAGAGAATGTTCCACGCTCAGGATGCTGCTCAGTTGGAGCTTGGTATCATCGAAATTCCACCAGCTGATGACAGTCCATATGAATCAAAGAACCCACTTCAGACTCATGAAAAGAACAGTCAGTATTAAATACAACTGCTTGCAAAACCTCATTATTTTTATAAAATATTTAAACTTTATTTGATAATTTTAGAAATTTTTAATTTTTTCATTCATAAAAAGCTCATACTCTTCCTACATAAACTTGCTTTCATAGATACTCTGTTAAAACCCTTTAAACATATAAATAAAAAGATCTTGAAGAAATTCAGAGAAGAAAAAGTAATCTTTCATCAAGTCTAATGTATGAGAATGAAGTGTAACAAAGTTTATGTCTGAACTTCAATATTAATTCCGATTTTTTTGAATTTAAGACAAAAGGTTGTTTTTTATTGATTTTTGATTTGGGATAATAATACCTTGAGTTATTTTATTTGAAAGAATGTGAAATTTTGATATTTTGGAGTAATTTTATTTTTTTGTATTAAATTCGCGACTGATTTTACTAAAACTAATACTATTAATAATAATGATAGAAATTGATTAAATTTCTGCTTTTAAATTTACTTGCTATGTGGTTCGGTAGAAGATTTTTTTTAAATTCAGGTTGAGAACAGACTAATGTTATAAGTTCCTATATAAGGGCATGATCAAAAGAGAAAGTATTTGAAAAAAACTTGAATGCAGTCTGAATTTCCTACAAAAATGAATAATGAAATTCAATATTCATAATCGCACTGATCCAGCACAAGTTTATTGGTCCATAGGTTCATTATATTCACCGAAATTCCAAAAATAAATTCCGGAACTGAAAAAATTTTAACTAATTGGTTGCATGATCAACTTCGCATTAATTATGTATAATGCAATGAATGCATTATGTTATCAAGGTGAATAAAGTAAATTAACGTATCATGGACAATTTGATAAGAAACCAGGCCATCCCTTTCAATTTCATGAACAGATTTACATAGAAAAAATTGAGAGAGTTTTTACGATATTTGAAAAAATCAATAGGTGTCAAACCAAAAATTTTTTATTTCATTTTTATTTAGATCTCCTACACAAGCATGATCTACGACAACATCCTCCAGACAATCGGTAACACACCAATGGTTCGCATCAACCACCTTAACCCAAACCCAAAGGTCGAAATGTACGCCAAGCTTGAAGGTTTCAACCCAACAGGCTCTGTTAAGGATCGTATCGCCCTCAAGATGATCGAGCAAGCCGAATTAGAAGGCAAGCTCAAGCCAGGCAGCACAATCATCGAAGCTACATCTGGTAACACAGGTATCGGTCTTGCTATGATCGGCCGTGTTAAGGGCTACAATGTCATCATTGTTATGTCAGAAGGTGTTTCTCTTGAACGCCGTAAAATGATCAAGGCCTTCGGTGCTGATATCATCCTTACAGACAAGAAGCTCGGCACAGATGGCGCCATCAGAAAGGTCGCTGAAATCCTCAAGGAGAACCCAGGAAAGTACTTCAACCCTAACCAGTTCTCTAACGAGTACAACAAGATCGCTCACTACAAGACAACAGCAGAAGAAATCTGGGCTCAGACACAGGGCAGAGTTACACACTTCGTCGCTGCTGTCGGCACATCCGGCACACTTATGGGTGTTGGCAAGAACCTTCGTGAGAAGAACCCAGACATCAAGATCGTCGAAGCTCAACCAACAAAGGGTCACTACATCCAGGGTCTCAAGTCCATGGAAGAGGCTATTGTTCCAGCTATCTACCAGGCTGACAAGATCGATGAGCACATCCTCATCGAATCCGAAGAGGCTTTCGCTAAGGCTCGTGAAATCGTTGCCAAGGAAGGTATCTTCATCGGCATGAGCTCTGGTGCTGCTATGCTCGCCGCTCAGAAGCTTGCTGAGAAGCTCGATCACGGTGTTATTGTTGTTCTCTTACCAGACCGTGGTGAGAAGTATCTTTCTACAAAGCTCTTCGACACAGAATAAACTGTATGAACTTTGCTTTCCCCTCTATTAATCGAAAATCTTTTTTAATTCTAGCTTTTTAATGAATCTACTTCTTTTTAACTTAGATATTTGATCTTTCTTCTAGTATTATGTATAGAAAATGCTTATATTATGAACCAAATCACTCAGAATAACTAATTAGATTGTGTATTCAGGTCAATTATGAGTCAATTCTCCATAATTGTTGTGCAGATCGTCATAAAATGGTATAAATGAATACTTTGTATCTCCAAAATTTTTATGAAATCCCAAAAATCAAAAGAATCTTTGAGAAATTTTTTATCATTTTTTCAAAAACAAAAAAAATTTGGAATATAAAACATGTCTAAATAAGGAATTTATAACGACAATTATGATTTAAATTATCTGGTTAATTCATTAAATATCTTAAATCACTAAAATCATATGCTTTTCCTTATAATTGATATAAATTTTCTTTACAAATCAATTATTTTTATTAACATATATCATTACAGTCTTTATTTTGTTTTAAATAAAATAATATAATACAGTTTACTGCTTAAAGTTCAACAAACGTTTCTTTGAATTCGTGAGTTCTGAGGAAATCAAGAATTTCTTCAATACTTGCGCATCCACTCTCTTCCTTGAAGCTACTTATATCATATTTATCATTGAAGTATCTAAGATTTGCATTGAATTCATGTTCATACAGTATAGATGCAATTTTATGGTATCTTTTCAGTTCCATCAGTATATGGATTGCATTAATGAGGTTACCTGATTGCAGTGAATACGTCAAATATGAGTCAATGACAACAGATTCATCAAGATTATTGAGATGAGCAAAAATATGGGCTAATTCGAAGTACTCAGCCATCAGGAGGTATTTAAGTGTTGAGTTCTTATCACCTATGATCAAAGATAAGAGAGAAGCACCCAAGAAATCTTTGTTTTCCTCAAAACTTTTGATAAAAAGTTTTAATTGTTCGATGTTTTCTTCAGGGATTTCCTTTTGGTAGAAAGAGAGCACGAATCTATGATACACTCTTTTGATATCACTAGTTATCGACGGAGTTATCTGTTTAGGCTTTTCTCCAAGAATTAAATTAAAATCATCAACAAATTCTGGGTAATTTATAGGAATACTCATGGATTTGATAACCATATCAATGTATTCTCGCGATGTTTCAACATTTAGAGCAAATGGTTTCTTCGTCTGGAAGAAATTCAATTCATAATATTTGTTGTCACTTTTTGTACTTTGATGTAAAGTGATTCCAGATTTTTCAAGAACAGTAAGTGTATCACCAGATGCTGATAGGATGTTTGCAGAGTTATTTTGGATGAGCTCAATGAGTTCAAGATTGGAGTTCATTATTTCAATGGAATTCTTGAAATTAAAAGCAAACTTAGATTCACCGCGATAACATACGATTTCCGCTGGCATTTTGTAGTTAACACGCTTACAGCACTCACCATTCTGTAAATTAAAGATGTAGAGCTTGTAACTCATGTCAATTCCAACAACTTGCGGAAAATCAAAAGAAATAAGCGAATAATAGCTCGTAGCCGTGAATTGTGGGAATGAACCAAATACAGGCTTCATATCTTCATTAGCAAAGAAAATTCCTTTAGATTTTATTGAAATCGCGATTACGAGCTTTTTATCGTTATCCAGCGATACGTCGTAAGCCTGTAGGTCGTTTATTGTCTTTGTGCTAACTTTGCCGTTACAATATACTCCAATTGTGTTAGAATCTGAAACAATAATATAATCTGCGATTGTACGCAAATCTGTGACTGGTTTGTCAATGATATGAAGTTCTGTTATATCAAATTGCTGTTTCTGCTCGAAAAGATAAACAGAACCTTCAATAAGATAAACTATTGAATTATTTGAGAAATAACAGAGTTTATCGACTTGTTTCGGATATCTGAATGAATACACGCCTGTCTTATAATTGTAGGACGTCAAAGCATCGTCTACATCCGAAAAAACAATTTGATTATTAAATTTTGAAACAAGAGTTCCTTCTTTCATGATAGGAAGTGTATAAAAAGTATTGAGTGATAATGACTTGTTCGTGCTCTTCTTTATAATGTACGTTTTGTAATAATTCGAAATAATTATTAAATCTCCTTTTGAAACGTATAAAGGGGCGAAATTAAACGTTTTCGGAAGGTTTACGGATTGAGGTTTTGAAAGGGATGAATTTTCAATTGAAAATTGTTCAATTGAATTATCGTTGTATAAAACGAAGAAAGAGATGTCATTATCATCATTTGCGTATACACTTGAGACAATCTTGTCTTGGGTGAATGAAAGAATGGTAAACGCAGCTCCTGTAACTAAATGAATTAAATGAATAAAATGTTTTGACCAAGCAATAGCGAAACCAAAAGAAATGGTCGTAACTCCTTCGACTCTTTCATCTTGAGTAAGGTTGTAGACAGAAGAAGTGATTTGATATGGATATTTCTGATTTTTTCTGTTTAATATGATAAGTTCTGAAGCTTTTGTCAATGCAATAGCGTAATTAGAGTTGTATGTCGATATGGAAACGCATGTAAGTGGATCTTCGAATGTTAAAGTCCAATTTTTCTGAATTGTAAAAATATCTTTGTCAATATATGAATATTCTGTCAATTCTTTTTCATTTTCAAGAACAATGAATGAATCTATTGTTGAATTATCAAAGCATACTTGTGAACACTTCATATTGAACGATTTTGACTTGAGATTTAAGATATCACATAGAGCAATAGAGTTATCTGATACAACAACTAATATAAATTGCTTTGAATATGCTCCTGATATGAATCCTAATGATTTAATATGCGTATTTGGGAAATCAAAAGAAGAAATTACAGAAAAAGTTTGTTCGTTTTTCTTGTAGACAAGTACACATTCTCCAATACATACTGCAAGATACCCATATGTAAATGAAGCTATTGGAGTATCCCCATACTTAACTAAACTTGGTAAAATCTTCATTTATGTCAAATCTGACAAAATTTCAAAATATTTGAAAACTGTTAATCTCACAATGTTCATTGGTTTTAAAATAAATATACAAAATTTCAGGAAATCTGCAAAAAATATGTTTTGAGAATGTTCGAAACGCGTCAATAGCCAATATCAACTGTTTAATATACATTCTGTTCTTCATTAAAATTGATATCTCTGTGCGAGCTGTTCACTCTTCATAGAAAAATTTCGAATATATAAAGTGCTCTGATGGCAATTTATTGTTTGTCAATCTCAAATACATAAAAATAATATCTAGCGGTGAGTATTACTGAAATTGGAGCTGTTATTTTGCGAAATAAAGAATTTTGAATTTGAAAATCGTATAAATAATCAATCATTCAATCAAAACTATTAAATTAATAATAATAAATCAGAAAATATGAATTTCAATCTAATATTTATAATTCAATCAAAGAAAGGAAGATATTCCTTAGAAAAGATTTGTGTAAAGGAGAATTGCTCCCCAAATGTAAGCAAATGGAAGCCATAATAAGCTTGACCAAACGAAAGCGATGCGAGGGCCAATCATTTGATCATCATCTGGCATTCTATGTAATGAAAACAGTCCTGTTGGAGAAACGGCCATCAAAACAGCAGATTTAGTCTGTTCAGATGGGATCTTGAAACCTTTGCATAATCCGCCGACAAGGAACGGGAATAATACGTAATTAACAGCGAGATTGATGGGAATAAACACGTGGAATCTCCATAAGTTTACAGATCCTGCAACAACTCCGATAGAGAATATTATTGAACAAGTAACGCATTTTGTAAGATCGGTAATGAAGTTTTTCATGAGAGCAGGCATGTTTATCTTGATCGCAGCCCAAATGAAGCCGAGAATTATACATATCGTATTTGTATTGACCCAGGCAGTGATAATTGTAGATGTAAGTGTAGGAGGCTTGATTTCTGGTTCAGCTGGTTTATCTGCCGCTTGCTTCTTTTCAATATCTTCCTTCTTTTCTTCATCTTCATTTTCTTCGTCTGATTGCTGGTTTGCTTCATTAACATCTTCATCTTCGATACATTCAAGACCATCTTATTCCTGAAGTGAATCCTCTTCCTCTTCTTGTTGTGGCTCTTCCTGATCATCTTGTTCTTTAGGGGTGTGAGAATAAACAAACATGAGGATCTTGAGGATAGGAAGATAAATGAACTCTTCAGTGATCAAATACATGACTGCAATTACTTTATACTTTGTTGGGAAAACAACATCTAAAATTTGATAAATAAAAACTGTTGATTCCTGAAAAGCGAACGAAGTTGCAAATCTTATGTATGCAGTGAGCTTGCTTTTAGACTTGATTGCAAATGTTGCTATAACAATCAGGAGATAAATGATTAATTGAGCAATCGCAATTGGGAAATACGGCTTCCAATTCTCCATTGTAAGCTTGGTATTGCCAATAATATTATAGGCCATTGCGGAATAGCTTGAGAGTCGGATAACTTCGTATAATGGCCAAACTTCTGGAGCAGTAAAAACCTTAAAAATTGCAAGGACGAAGCCAATAACAAGAATGATATACAGCGCGCCTTGAATCTGGAAAAGGTCTTTGAGAGTAAAAACCATAAAACTATATAAAGAAAATTTCTGTCACTTTTAAAATATTCAATTTGAAAAAATTTATTGTATGCGATATTATCGTAAGAAGTCTCAATTTTGAGAATAAACGATGGGATAAGGATATTTTACAACATCTCTTAGCCAATCATTCTTGAGTGGTTCTTTCAATTTTGCAATATTTTGAAAACACAACAGTTTGGATAACGGGTGTTTCAAATATTTTTTCCCTTTTGATATGATATATTATATTACCAGTTTTTTTTAAATAAATATTTCCCAGATCGAAAAGGCAAACCCAAATTTTAGCTAAAAGTGACAGGAAAAAAAAACGTTTAGTATTAAAAAAAAAGACCGATGAGAGCTTCGTTCGAAATATAGAGGGAACTGAGAATGCGCAACCATTCTCAGGGAATATTGAATGCTATTCCCGTTCCCTCTGTATGGAAAATTGAGGTTTTCAAAGGGAGTTAAAATAATATCAAATTTATACTAATTTACTTCAAAATACAAAAGTATTTGACAGCTAAAATTAGTTACTTTAGCAAGCCTATCAATACCCTTTTACGATTATTGTTACTTTTTCGAAATAAAAGTAAAAACAAATTTATACTAATTTACTTCAAAATACAAAAGTATTTGACAGCTAAAATTAGTTACTTTAGCAAGCCTATCAATACCCTTTTACGATTATTGCTACTTTTTCGAAATAAAAGTAAAAACAAATTTATACTAATTTACTTCAAAATACAAAAGTATTTGACAGCTAAAATTAGTTACTTTAGCAAGCCTATCAATACCCTTTTACGATTATTGCTACTTTTTCGAAATAAAATAAATTTATTATCAAAAACCTTTTTTTTCTTAGTAAAAATAAACAAAATTTTTTACCTTATGAACTTTTGATGGAAATATGCAAATTTAAAATAATAAAGAAAGCCGCGAGCGAATCGAGCGGCTTAGGTCTAAGATTTTGATTCAAATCTTTGCTTATATTCCTTAAATTCTTTATGAAACTCGCAACAGTTCCATAAAAAATTTTAAATTCTAAACTGTCGAAATTACCGATCGGTAATCACACCCTTCAGGGGTGTGTCACTTTTTACAGGCGTGTCACTTTTAGCTAAAATTACCCCTACTCGATCGAAAAATTATTTTATCTTCAATTTAATCATTGCTTACTATTGTTCTACAGAGGTAAATAATAATATCAAATATTTCAAATGATAAACCATTTTGTAATTCATCGAATTTCGGATTATTGAAATTTGCTATGATCTTATATGTAAACTTATAGTGCTATTGCTTACATACAAGGCCCAATGAATGAATAAGTGAACAAATGTATTGCCTTATTGATAAGCAAGAATATTAAACTCACAAGAAACATTAACCCATGCATTTTAAGTACCTCAAAAACCTAAGTTCCGCAATGATATTGAAACAAATCAAATATGATTTACTTTCAATGTATTCTGATTTGCGTGAATTTTGCGTTTTCATTTGAGTAGTTAATAATTCGCTTCTATCAGAAAAGGGCAGTTGACCATTTGTTAATGAAGGATATCAAATGAAGTTGTTATTGATACTGAAAATTGAGGTTGTCGATACTGAAAAATACATGAATTACAAACCATAACAGACGATATTTAATCGATGAAAACTACAAAATATTTAATTTTAAATTTTAATTTTAAACAAAACAAATACTTAATATATATGAATTGACATTGTGATACGTTGTTATATAAATCTTAAGCAACATACTACAACCTTCCTATACTATTTAACACCTATGAGACGCAGAAATGGATATGGCTTTTCATTTTGGATTAGTTCCTGATTAGTCATTCCAGTAAATGGAGATATTGGAAGCGCATACATGCAACAATTCTGATCTCTTCCAAAAACGTCAAGAAGATTTTCTTTTTTGCTTTCATTTCCAAAATATTCCTTATCAATACCATGCTCTATTTCAAATTTAGTTAGATTGTTCGATGTAAGACCAATTGACCTTGAAAATTGAGCAAGTGGTATTAACGTAATGAAAAGTTCAACCGGAATAGATATAACAATAATGGTAAAATTGGAAGTAGTCAGTTCGTTCCTCCGAATTATCAAAGTAACAAAATGTGAAATCACTAAGAAAAAGCAAAAAATCGTTGCATACAATGTTGTCAGCAAAAGCAATTTTTCGTTTCTTTTACCTATGTAAACACCAGCCCATTTACAATAGAAATCGGGGCGAATTACATACCTGCCGACGTTAGGGAAGTAATAAGCTCTATTTGGTCGTGGATTTGATTTGAGCCATACAAGTTGTGCAGGAAAAGTTGTTATACCTTCAAAATTGTCTTCGGTGCTTAATCCTTCTAATAAATGCTCTGATGCATGATGCCAGTAAAATGGCAGATATCCAGGACCTACAGATATCATTTGGAAGTAAGATACTAAAAACATAATGTATACTATTAACAATATTGGTGTGAAAATGTAGCCAAAATATGATGTGTAAAGTAACGTATATACAAAATGAATAACCATGTTCCAGAGCGATAATATTACAATGATATAAGGTGAGGGACCACAATACCAACTTCCACAATAGTATTTTTCTGAATCTTTGAAATCTAGAGCAGTGCAACAGCATCCGAATTTACGGTATGATGATTTTCCGGGGAATTTGCCAGTAGTCGAGTCATAGTCATCATAAGTATAATCACTCTCGTCATAAACTGTCTTCTCAAGATCGTTTCCTGAAGCTGAAGACATACAAGTTTTATTCTTCCTTACGCCAGATTTTTGAAAGAAATTTTGGAAAAATATTGAATCCTATATTATTAGAAGATGCAAAATTTTGAAAATAATTCATATCGAAATTTGAATACTCATTCAAAATTATTTGATTAATTGAAAAAAATTAATTAAATCATTTATCTCAGATAATTTTAAATAAAAATTTTCAGTGCGAAATTTGTCAAATTTGAAATCAAGCCAATGAAAAAAGTGTTATAGACCGAAAATAGATTTTTTTCGGTTTTCTCTTCAAATAATTGAAAGAATGATACTATTATAGGTTTATTATATTATATAGCATATAATCATGCTATAGCCGAAAATTATAAGTTTTGAGAAGATTGAATATAACACAAATAAATTTGAATGTAAGTTAAATTGCTTGTTTTTTAATAGCTATTTAATGAGAAATCCAATATTGCAAAATTCAAATTGAATGATTGAAAGAACAGAAAAAGTCATTCTTTTCAATTTCGAATATGTTTCATTGTATTTATAATTATATGGCAAATACGATATTTAAACTTGATTTTTGAAGGAAAATTCACAAAATTGAATAAATTCAAATAATTTTTATTCAAAAATAAACTAGTTATTTGAGTTTAATACTAATTATCTATTCAAACTACAAAGTTTGTAATTTAAAATATTTTGTGAGATCAGATTGAATTAATTCAAGGTTCTTTTCAATTAATATTAATGACCATATTACGCATTTTCGAACATTCTAAACCAAATATATAAAAATGGGAGACGAATGTTAAATTTGCTAGACATGGGGGAGTTGTCTGCAAAGTTTTAGCTCTTATCTCTAACAAAAATTAATTTTTAAAAAAAAGACCGAATACGTTTCACAGCGAGAAAAAAATAAAAGGCAAGATAGAATTTTCTAGACATAAAGAAGTTGTTTACCGAGTTTTAGCTCTTATCTCTAACAAAAATTAATTTTTAAAAAAAAGACCGAATACGTTTCACAGCGAGAAAAAATAAAAGGCAAGATAGAATTTTCTAGACATAAAGAAGTTGTCTACCAAGTGTCAGCTGTTACTTCTTCTCAATACTGATATAAAATAAAAATCTTTATTATTTATTTAACCTTTATTGTTTCATTAAACTTCATTTATTTTATATTATAGTTTTATTCTTTTAGCTACTTGTAAAATAATCTAATTTTATATCATCATTTTACCGGATTATTCTTCAGTACATCGATTGTGTATCTAAAATAATATCATTATCCTTATTCTGTTTTTTCCAAAATTCTTTTAAATATCTTTTTTGGTTAGATTACTTTACACTTTTTACTTTTATTTTTTAATTTCAAAAAAAATTTGGTGATTGTTCTATTCTGTTACAATGTGCATTATCATATTCTAATGAATTATTCATTACATACATTTAAAAAAACTTGTTTAAAAATGAAATTAAAAAAATTATGTTTATTATTACGCTGTGAATGTGTCAACAGCGGTCATGCCTGTATCTGTATCCCATATTTGCCACAACCTTTCTGTATCTGCATTTGTGTATTTCGGTTTCAGCTGATACATTTGATTTGGCGTGTAATTTGTTCCAGTTAATGGATTAATTGGGAGATCTTCATGCGGTGTGTTATTATTGTACTCCCAAATAAAGGCAGGAATAGCCTGAATGCTTTGGCAGCGCTCCAATGTCGACCAGAATCTCTCAATCTTCCCATTTTGGTAGGGAGAATGAGAGTCTGTATGCCGCCATTGGACGCGCCAAAGATCAAGTAGATCTTGAAAGGCGCCCCTATTTTCTGAACCGTTGTCGGTCCAGAAACAATAAGGGACGCCAAATTCAATGAAGGCGGAAGCCGCAACGTTCGCTGTCGTCGCTGCCAGCATATCTGGTATTTGTATACACGCTAGGACTTTGCGGCTAAAATCGTCGATTATGCCATAAATATACTGGCCACGAACACCCCTAAAATAATGAACATCTGCGTGCCAGATAAGATTGGGTGAAAGCGCCCAATATCTTACTGCTGTTTCTGGCCCGGCATGCTCTAATCGCGTCTTGGTGAAATGATTTTCTTTGAAGTATCTGCGTACTTCTCTATAAGATACATCAATTTGTTGTAATTTCAAACGTTTCCATTGTTTTGTTTGACCACAGGGAAGGGCCCAGTGGTCATGTATCACAGCAAGAGCTTTGATTTGGTCGTAGGGATTGACCCTACGACCTTTCTTGCCTTTAGGCAATGGGATATTCTGTAAGCTAAATTGATTTTGTAAAAAAGATTTTGAAACATCTAAATATTTGAAATCATTTGATTGAAGGGTTGGGGCGATGGGAACATGGGTGCAAGCTTCTTCCCATGTCATTTTACCTTCTTCAATCTGATTGGAAATACCAATTAGGTAAATTCGATCGACATACCCTTTGTAAGGATTCATTCTAATGAAGTACGTTAACAATCAAAATATTCTATAAGTGTCTAGTATGGAATTCAAAAGAATAAAGAAAATGGTAACGTAAATAAACGTATTATGAAATAATTTATAATTAAAATGAAAAAAAGAAAAAATAATAAGTAAAGTGACTGGAAATGAAAATGAAAATCAGTGTACAGTTTTATTTTTTTCTCGCTGTGAAACGTATTCGGTCTTTTTTTTAAAAATTAATTTTTTGTTAGAGATAAGAGCTAAAACTCGGTAAACAACTTCTTTATGTCTAGAAAATTCTATCTTGCCTTTTATTTTTTTCTCGCTGTGAAACGTATTCGGTCTTTTTTTAAAAAATTAATTTTTTGTTAGAGATAAGAGCTAAAACTCGGTAAACAACTTCTTTATGTCTAGAAAATTCTATCTTGCCTTTTATTTTTTTCTCGCTGTGAAACGTATTCGGTCTTTTTTTTAAAAATTAATTTTTTGTTAGAGATAAGAGCTAAAACTCGGTAAACAACTTCTTTATGTCTAGAAAATTCTATCTTGCCTTTTATTTTTTTCTCGCTGTGAAACGTATTCGGTCTTTTTTTTAAAAATTAATTTTTTGTTAGAGATAAGAGCTAAAACTTTGCAGACAACTCCCCCATGTCTAGCAAATTTAACATTCGTCTCCCATTTTTATATATTTGGTTTAGAATGTTCGAAAATGCGTAATATGGTCATTAATATTAATTGAAAAGAACCTTGAATTAATTCAATCTGATCTCACAAATATTTTAAATTACAAACTTTGTAGTTTGAATAGATAATTAGTATTAAACTCAAATAACTAGTTTATTTTGAATAAAAATTATTGAATTTATTCAATTTTGTGAATTTTCCTTCAAAAATCAAGTTTAAATATCGTATTTGCCATATAATTATAAATACAATGAAACATATTCGAAATTGAAAAGAATGACTTTTTCTGTTCTTTCAATCATTCAATTTGAATTTTGCAATATTGGATTTCTCATTAAATAGCTATTAAAAAACAAGCAATTTAACTTACATTCAAATTTATTTGTGTTATATTCAATCTTCTCAAAACTTATAATTTTCGGCTATAGCATGATTATATGCTATATAATATAATAAACCTATAATAGTATCATTCTTTCAATTATTTGAAGAGAAAACCGAAAAAATCTATTTTCAGTCTATAACAAGCCAATGTAAAAAGATTCTCCAGCTTTTTTAAAACATTATCATATTCCCTTTTCCCAACAAAAATCTCTGCGGAGATAAATGATGATGAAATTGAAACATTGAAATTCAAAAAATGAGTGAAATCAACCAGATAAAGTGCGTTTTTCTTGGAGATAGTGGAGTAGGAAAGACATGCATGCTGCACAGATACATAAATGGAACATTTATTACACCTACTTCTCCAACAATTGGCGGTTCTTATTTATCAAAAGTTATTACATACGAAGGACATAAAATTGATTTAATGCTTTGGGATACAGCAGGTCAAGAGATGTATCGTGGCCTAGCTCCAATGTATTATCGCAATGCCAAAATTGCATTTATTGTTTATGATGTTTCTTCTGCAAAGTCCTTTGAGTCGGTTATGTACTGGGTTGAAGAATTAAGACAAAATACAGGAAATGATATGATTATTGCAATTGTTGGAAACAAATGCGATCTCGATTCTAAAAGAGTAGTTGATTTTGAAAAAGCCGAAAACTTTGCAAAGAGCGTTAACGGTGTTTACATAGAAACAAGTGCCAAATCTGGTTACGGAATTGATCAATTATTCGAAACTGGAGTAAGACTCGTAATGACAAGCGCGTCCAAGGTTATCAAGCCGAGTGTGGAATTAGAAAATAAACAAGAAAAGAAGGAAGAATCCGCTTGCTGCTAATTTTCAATGTTTGTTTGCATCGGCTGGCCTTTGCTACAAGAACCAGATCCACTGTAAATAATAGGTTAATTTATTTATAGTTTTTTTAACCTTTATTGTTAAAAATAATTTTTTTTATATAATTTTTTTTTTCAGATTCATTTCGAACATATGTGCTTCTCTTTTGATTATAGCTGAGTATATATTTTTAGGTCAATCAGTTTGATTGAATGAACTTCGAATTCAATTTGAAGAAATAGAGAAATAAGAAGGTTTATTATAAAGAAAAATTATATAATTCAGCTAATTGAATAGAACTTTTACGATATATTAAAGAAATAAGATTGATAAAAGGAAAAAAATTTAGCAACATCCAGTTTTCTTTTCATTTGTGTCAACTTTATCGGGTGTGTTGACTTTAGATCTACTAACAACTTTCATGCCATCATCACCATTGTACATTTTCATAAGCTCGTCAACAAGAGTAGTGAAAAGCTGTTTAATACCGGCTCCGCTACGAGCAGATGTTTCAGCGTATATGCAATTGTTCTTGTGAGCCCACTCTTCAGCTTCGTCTTTTTCAACAGCACGTTCTGGTAAATCGATCTTATTTCCTACTAAAACAACAATTGTATTTTCTCCAGCAACATTACGGAATTCAGAAACCCATTCGTTTACATCTTCGAAGCTTTTCCTGTTAGTAATATCAAAAACAACGATAGCAGCTAAAGATGATCTGTAATAAATAGGTCCTAAGCTTCTGTATTGCTCCTGACCAGCTGTATCCCAAATCTGGATTTCGAGATCATGACCATCTCTATGATCTGTGAAAGATTCGTACAACGTTCCAATTGTATTTGGTTCAGCTGGATCAAACTTATCTTGTAAGAACCTATTTACAATGCATGTTTTTCCTACACTGGAATCGCCAATGGTGACAGACCTGAATGTAATCTTTTCCTCTTCAATCAGCATTCTATCTCAATAAGATCGATATTTTTTGTAAATCATTCAACTTTCAAACAACTAGAAAATCTAATTTGATGACAGAATGAGTACATATAACAAACACATAATTAAATTATTTTTGAAATAACTTAGAACGCAATCCGAATTTCAGATTTGAATTTTTTCTTCATAAATGATCCATTTGAATATTCGAATCTAATTAAAATGCGAATGGATTAATATAAGTCTTGTAAATGGCCTTTTAACACTACTATTAACCCAAATTTAATCCAGATTTATCCACAAAATAATGATATGTCCAATTAACATATCAAAAGCTTGTTATATTATTTCATATACACATCATCATACTTGTGTGAAGCCTAGAAATCATATTCTTTCGGATAAAAACTTAGATAATTTTTTTGTGAAGTTTACTTCGAACTCCATCCATCATATTATTAATATGAATCCCATATTAGATACATAACGAAAATGAAATTTTCATAACAAAGATGCTTGAATATTATAACAATTTTTTCTTAAATTTTATTTCCGTAATAATCAGACTTTAACTCGTTGAAAACGCATATACAACTTATAGAAAATAAAATCATACTATAAATTTTTAAAAATAAAGGCAAAAGATTTCCAAATTCCTTCAAATAATGCAGATTGGAAAATTTGCTTTGAATTTAGATTACTCATAAAGATTATGAGCAAATATCTAAATATCAGTCCATCATTTCTGGAAAATTTTATTTTTGAATAAAAAGTGACAAATGAATCTATTACAGTATTTTTCTTTTAAAGATCCTTCATTTGAGATCAATATAGGTGAGTTACCTAATAATGCTCAATTCACAACGTTTTTTCAGTCGTTGATATCAGGAATTTATATCAAAAACGAAAAAATTCTTTATTTATATTATTCAAGGGCATCAAATTTGAAATCAACATCGGCAATCAACATGAAAGCTTACATTACTTCATCTACACAATATATTAAAACTCTTCTTACATTTTCAATTGATCAAGATTTTGTAGCAATTCCAGGTTTAGATTTACCATTAAAAATCAAAATTACAGCTAAAAACAAGATATTGTCACATAAAAATATCCAATTTCCAGGAATTTACAACTTAGGATTAACATGTTATATAAATTCATCGATTCAGTTCTTAAACAGTGCATTACCCTTACGACAATTGATATTTGACCAAGATCCTACAACAGCTTCAGTCAGTGATGAACTACAAAAAGTATTTATTGAAATGAATTCATCAAACGACCCAATTATACTTCGACCATTCGTCAAATCGCTTGGTGGCAACATATTCAATGTAATTGGGATGGAGCAAGACGCTCACGAGTTCATTACAAGCTTATTTGATAAACTCGACAATGAATTAGGCAAAGAGTTTGTTAAAAACAGAGAAGATGCATGCAGTGTTGTTGAAAGCCGTGTATTAGAATGTCCTGCAGCCAAAATCAAGAACGAAGTTACAGAAACATCGAATGAAATTCAAGTTACCGTCCAAGGCTTTTCTTCTTTGATGGAGAGTCTCAGATTTTCAACAGCTACAGAGATGCTTGTCGGTGCGAACAAATGGGATGCCGGAGAAGGCTTTGGAAAGCAAGATGCAAAAAGATACACGAGATTCAAAAAATTACCAAAGTTTCTTATATTCCATTTAGTACGGTTTGCATATAACAGGCATTCCCAACGTGTTGAAGAGGTCAGAAGCCAATTTGACTGTCCAGAAAAAATTAATATGAAAGAATTCTGTCTTCCCGAGGTAGAAAACACGAATTACACCCTTGTAAGCGTTATAGCACACAGAGGAGACCCAATGAGTGGCCATTACGTCACTTTCGCACAGCCAGCTTACGACGGAAACTGGTTTTTGTTCAATGATTCAGCAGTTTCAAATGTCACGTTTTCGGATGTTCAGAAAACATTTACTGACCAATCATCCTTATACTCGAGTGTCCTTTCTTACATCGGAAGAACCGATTTCCTCGCTTACATTGTCGGTTACATAAGAAATGACCAATTAAAGGCAAAAATAAAAGTGTCAAACAGAATTTCTCAAATTATGTCAGATTCTCTAACCACCCGTATCGTCAAAAGTGACAGTAATATTGAGTATGATGTATACAACTCCAAAGGTGATATTGTACAAGTCGAGAAAGGCCAAACAATCAAAGAAAAGTTCCCTGACGATTCTGACAAAAATTTCTTCTTTGCTTTACAAAGTACTGAAAACATGATCGGCCCTCTCAATTTGTCAACAGTCATATCATCATTCCTTGTTCCTAAGACATACGCGACCATCTTCATTATGGACAAAAACCTCGGAGAAAAGCCTGTTTTCGTTGTCCAAAATGAAAAAATCAAAATTTACAACGGTTTTGACATCATTTCAATTTTCAGTGACAAAATCATTTACTACAATGATGTTGTCATCTCAAATGATGATCAGATAAGAAAAGGAATGATTTTGAACGTAGTCGATAAAGATGTCACTTTTTCAATCGATCAAAAACCGCTAACCGTTTCATATGATACCAGATATGAAGAAATACAGAAGATGATCAACAATGAGCATCCAGAACGTGTTGTCTTTACTACGAGAATGAAAATTCTCAAACCAAAATATTATCCAACTGTTTTGTCACTTCACAAACAATATGATATACAAAGCAGTTTATTACCTGAAGGATTTACTCTTTCTCAGATTGATTTGTTCAAGAAGGTCAATGTGTTCTTTTACGACAAGAAACACAATGAAATTCGTAAAATATTATGGCTGAAGAAAGATGCAACAGTTCAAAACACAATCGACCAAATTAAATTAATAATGAATATCCAAAAAGGTGACATTGTTTTATCATCATTTAACAAGTCAGAAATTCCATTTATATTGAATCCTGTTAATTTATTGAGAGATCAAACAGTAAGAGCAGACTTTGTTGATAAATTCCCTGCTTTGTCTGTTACAGAAACTATTGGTCATTTGAAAGAAAAGAAAAGTTATGTAGAAGTTAGAAAATCTTCAGGAAATGGAGTTTTTAGAAACTACGAAACACTCGGTTTTTGTGGAATTACAAATAATATGAACACACATAACATTTGTGATGAATTTGGTATCAGAGATGCAAAAGAAATGTTTGTAAGAAGTTATTCTGATGGAACAAAGAAAATTTCATTCGATATTAAAGCTAAATTTAATACTGTTTTCCAGGACGTTTCAAAGAAGTTTAAATCTC